GCTCAGTCGTTAAGTGTCTGCCTTCAGCTCAGGTCATAATCCCAGGGTCCTGGGATCGAGGCCACTACCAGGCTCCCAGCTCAGTAGGAAGCCTGCTTCTCCCTCTCCCAATCTCACTGCTTGTGTTCCCTCTCTGGCTGCAAATAAATAAAATATTAAAAAAAGAAGAAGAAGAAGAACTGACTATAGTACCCAACATTTACTTCCAACTGAACTGAACCATTTTAGATCATTTTGGAACCCACTGGATTGAATATGGAGTCTTAGAAGGCTGTATTTCAAAACTGCAAGAAAGCATCTGTAACATATTGTGTTTTAAGAAATTTGTCTCCTGGTTATCTCAAGGCTTAGCCATTGGCAAGACAAACTATCACTTAATCTGTGAGAAAACTTGGCTTTGTTTAATCCTTGAAAAATAAACTCTGATGTTGAGTATTCTTTGAGAAAAAAGAAAAGCACAATCCCAAGGGAGAGGAAGTGAATGAATCCCAAGGGAGAGGAAGTGAATGAATCCCACGGGAGAGGAAGTGAATGAAAACTTGGACAAAGTAGCCATCAAAAGAAAAAGGGACAAATCAGACATGTAGGCCAAGCAGCCCTAATTCCTTAGAGTTGGTAATTTGTGGCTGAAGATGGATTCAGGGCCATCAGAAAAACAAAACAATGCAGCAGAACTCATCTTTGTGAGAAATACGACACAGAGGAATATATTTCCTTTTTTTTTTTTTAAGGATTTTATTTATTTATTTGACAGAGGGAGAGAGCACAACCAAGGGGTACGGCAGGCAGAGGGAGAGGAGGAAGCAGGCTCCCTGCCAGCCCGCTGGGGTCATGACTTAAGCCAAAGGCAGATGCTTAACTGACTGAGCCACCCAGGTGCCTAGAGGAATATATTTCCTTGGTATCTATTGGGTTGACAGAATTACCTCATCTCATTGGAGCCTATAACTGAAAGAATAATGAGACTCTCTAGAATTGTGGGGCCAGGTTAGAGAACTTTGACCTGAGCTGGGAAGGGCAAAATTAGAGAATACAGGATTGAGGAGAAAAGCTGAAGTAAAAATAGTATGCTCTCTGAGCAGTTATGTTATTTAGATACTATATGCTTTACACATATTATCTAACTTCATTCTTAATACAATGAAGCACTAGTATTACTTTGACTTTACAGAGGAGGAAACAAATTATGCAACTATTCTTTTATTGAACATTTATTCCATTTTTTCTATGCTGAATTAAACATTCATTTCATATTCTTAAAAAGAAAGGAAAAGCACAAACTATTTGCCAACAATATCTTAGAACAAGAAACGCAAATCAGAATTCTGACATTGTTAACTTCACAGAGCAGTTATTTGAGGGCTCAAAATGCAAGACATGAAGACAGAGCAGTTTGCTTTGGCCTTGCAGAAAGCAGGAGACTACCTAGTTTCCTGAATCCCCTCTGGTTTCAGCAAACTCATCAGCTCTGAATGGATCAGAGCAGTATGTTTTAACAAAATGGAGGAGGCTTTTATCTAAAGGAGGCTTTTCTCTAAAGATATTTGCAGCTCTACTAATATTGTAAGTAGTCCCATAGTTTCTCGTGTCTTATGTCATTTTCTTTCAGGTTCTATTCAAGTCATTCACTGGTTTTTTTTTTTTTACTCATTTTTTAAAGATTCTTTATTTGACAGCGAGTGAGCACAAGTACGGGGCATGGCAGAGGGCGAAGGAGAAGCAGGGACTCCCTGCTGGGAGTCTGCCAAGGGGCTGTATCCAGGATCCCAGGACTCTGGGATCATGACCTGAGTCCAAGGCAGGCCCTTAACTGACAGAGCCACCCAGGTGCCCCTCATTTCCTTTTTTTAATACAGGTCTAAAAGTAATGATAGGTTAGGGACACCTGGGTGGCTCAGGGGGTTAAACGGCTGCCTTTGGCTCAGGTCATGATCCCAGGGTCCTGAGATGGAGTCCTGCATGGGGCTCCTTGCTCAGCCAAGAGTCTGCTTCTCCCTCTTCCTCTGACTGCCACTCTGCCTGCCTGTGCTCTCTCTCTCTCTCTGATAAATAAATGAATAAATAAAATATTTTTAAAAATAAATAAAAGTAATGATAGGTTAAATCACTCTGAGAGATCATCTCTAATAATCACTTTTGATTGTGCATAACAATTTAAACCAATTTGAGAGTGTCATTTTCATTTCAGGCTAAGTGGTCGTGGGAATTCATGGCTATACCCATCTAAGAATGATCTCACGGATATTTGGATTCTTATTAGTGATAGAACATAGCACTTAAGATTAAGAGCTCTAGGGATACATATTAATGAGCTACTCCACTGAGCTGTCCCAGAATATAGATTGATTACCAAGAAAGAAAGGTGAAGAAGGCAATATAGCATCAATGCAGAAAGTGACTTAGCAATGTCAAGTCCTCCTAACCTGAAAAGGCTTCTGTTCTGTCCCCGAAATTATATAGGATTTGTTTCCTTTCGAAGATTCTTTCATATTCCTATTTAAGAGGTCTGAATAGATTGTACCTATTACTATAAATCTTTGGTGTAGTTGCTTCTCTATTGGAGAACCTTTATCACTTTCTCGCTGTACGCACTAAACTATGTTTGCCTTTCAAGCACATAAAAAATGTGCTAGTCATAAAAAAGTAACAATAAACAAATAAATACACATTAAATTCAATGTGTATTTGGTGTGCATATGTGTGTGTTTCTGTGTGTGTGTGTCCAAGTATGTATTTGTTCTCTGGGTCACAATATAAAATGTATTTCTTACTAAGAGTCATGGTTAATAAGTATTTGAAGGGCACAATCAAGAACACTTCTCTGTACTCTCACCTCTCACTTATTCCTCCCCAAGAAGTGATTTACCTGACTGGCAAATTTGGGAGAAGAAATTGAGCCGAGTCCTTTCTCATTCTCTTATCCCACAAGTTCTCTCTTTTGTCTTTTCTTACTCTCTGTAGTAGACTAAATAAAAGCCACCCAAAAGATCAGGTCCTAAAATCAGGAATCTGTAAATGATATCTCTCTTTTTTTAAAAAAGATTTTATTTGACAGAGATCACAAGTAGGCAGACAGGCAGGCAGAGAGAGGAGGAAGCAGGCTCCCCGCTGAGGAGAGAGCCCGATGTGGGGCTCAATCCCAGGACCCTGGGATCATGACCTGAGCCAAAGGCAGAGGCTTTAACCCACTGAGCCACACAGGTGCCCCTGTAAATGATATCTTATACAGCAACGTCTTTGCAGCTATGATTAAGTTAAGGATTTTGAGATGTGGAGATTATCCGGAATTATAGGATTGTACCTTAAATCCAATTATATGTATCCTTTAAAAGGGAGGAAGGGGAGAATCTATACACAAAGAAAGCCAATATGAAGACAGAGTAGAAAGTGATTTCAAGATACTGACCTTCCTTGAAGATTGAAGTGATGCGTCACAAGTCAAGGAATGCTGGCAGTCATCAGAAGCTAGAAGAAGCAATGAATGTTTATCCATTCATCAGTTTGTGGAAATTTCAAAAGATTACTTTTATAGCTTCCTTCCAAGTCCTTAGAGGGAAGGGAGAAGATTATCAGACTTAGAACCATGAGTGAGGTATGAGAATTGGAAGGGCCTCTGCACACCAATTTGTACTTCAACATGCCTCATAATAATAATGGCCAACACACTAAGTGACAATGACATGCAGAGTATACCATGTACATAATTCTCTATCCTCACAAAAATTTGGTGAGGTAGTCGTCATTACCCTTGTTTTACACATGAGAAAACTCAGAGTCAGAAATAACTCATCCAAAGTCATACAACCCTAGTGAAAGAACTAGGTTGTACATCTATTTTGACTTGCCTCCACAAACAGCCCTGTCCATTTCAAGTGTCTTCCTACATTGCCTATCCTTGGTTTCCTAAGACTGGGCTTCTGTATGTTAACCTGTTCCCCAGGCAAGCTATGTGCTGTAGTTTGTACATACCAAAAATATACATAATAAAAATTCTTTACATAAGAAATTTTGGTTGACAATAAATTACATTAAAAAATTGCAGGGCTAGAATTCTTAAAGACCCAAATGCAGAATCTTTTTACAGATGGGTAAAACAAAGCCAGCAAATTTGCATACTTGTCTAATATGCAGCCAGCTCATCAAAGTAGAATTTCATTGCAGTGTAAACCGATTGCTAATACTTTGTAAGTTCTAAGTGGAAAGCAACTCCAAACTTACTTGATCATCCAAACATTGTTAAACTTCCATTAATGTCTCCATTACTTTCCTCTACTCAAGCATTTATGGAGGGATATATGAAACTGATGCTCTGTAATGGCAACACCAAACCCTAGTTTTTGAGGAGAGGAAGAGAAATTTTAAACAGCATTTTTCAGTTGTGGGGGATTTGGGAATCCCATGATCAGAATATTAACTGACTTTGAAGTGATAATTCCATTCTACAAAACCCTAAATATTTACACAAGGTCCTGCCAAGTCACAAATTAAAATAAAATTCTTTCAAGTAAGAGAATGCTACCGAGCACCCCTGAAACACATTTTGGTTTGTCGTTCTGGTTTTCTGGGACATATTCTCGTCTGCCATACTGGCTTGCCACGTACTTATTTCGCTTCACGGTGTAACTGTTACGGCATTTTTAAGGATATTCATTACCCCTGTCAGTTATAAACAAAATAAAAGGCGAATGCAAGTGCTGAAAAGTGAGGGGAGGGGGAATGGGGGTTCGGAACGCGTTCTGAGTAAGGCTACACAGTATTTGTTTTCGCCCTTCTGCACCAATACCTTTCCCCACAGGAATTTCCAAACACCTTCGGGCGGGTAGCAAAGGGCAAAACACACAGAGGCCCCAGCTGCGAGCCCAAATAAGGAGGCGAGCCGCCCACCCACCAACCAATCTGAAGTCGTTTTCTGCACCTGCCCACTGCTTGAACACCCTTTCCCCTCTGGCCCGCTGAGGCCCCGTTTTACGACAGTTTTCCGACCTTTTTGCGGCCTCTACTGCCGTATTTCCTGGGGCTTCTGTGTCTGGGCAGTTTGTATCTGTTGGTGGTGGCCGCGTTGCCGTCTGTTGGAGGAGTGGAAACTGGTGGCAGCGGCCTTGGGGCTGGGATGAACCGCACTCTCGGTGGAGGCCGGGGAGCCAAGCCAGAGCCATGGTGAGTCGCCCTTCTGGTCTCCTTAGCAATCGCAGGCCCAGGACTCAATCCCAAGTCGCGACCTCGGAGGAGGGGAGCCGAGGTTGTGTCCCCACTGCGACTGTTGGCTGCAGATGTAGGGCCCCAGAGAGCCACACCGCTCCAGGACATAATCTTTGAGGGCCTTTATGTTCTTACATGGCTTTTCTGCAGGGGACTCCAGTCCCTGGTTCGTCTTCCCCGCGGTTTAGTGATTAGTGGAAACGCATTTGATTATACTTGCCCTTCCCTTGACACAGCTCACAGTACCTTCTCTGCTTCGCTCTTTCTCCTTGGCCCTTGCCGACACATCTTTTCTCGATTCCTGAATATATTTCGGCCTCCGTACAGTGAGGGTGAGACGACACAGTGCCAGAGGCGCTGTGAAAAGCTAGTCTTCTAGGTAAGCCCACGTTTAACGTTGAAACATGTTGTCAAAATTCTGCAGTGACTTTAAATAGTTCTCTAGAGGAAACTTTTTTTCCATTGTTCTTGATTGAACATTAATGTAGCTTCATCTGCCCTGAGGGGAAAGAGGTTTTCAAAGGGATGTAGTTGTTATCTTCGCAGTTGTAAATTAAACAAATCCTCTCGCTCTTATCTTTAACAGTGAAAATCCATACTTTACAATGAGTTGGAGATAAAAGTTGCAGTCCTTTTAAAGGATAATGGGCAGACTATTTTCTCCCTATAAGTTGTTTCTCCCTTTGAAATAAAACTTAAAGAGTTTGGGATGGGACAATGGGTATGATAGGGAAGGGTGAGAATTCCAGAAGTCAATTACTTACTCTGCTTCCCCTTACCAGGCAAGTACAGTGGTAGCAGTTGGACTGACCATTGCTGCTGCAGGATTTGCAGGTTTGTTTATGATTTGGGAATGGAAATGAAGTAGGGGAGGTTGAAGATTTTTTAATTATTTTATTGCTTTTGTTTTTAGGCCGTTATATTTTGCAAGCCATGAAACATATGGAGCCTCAAGTAAAACAAGTTTTTCAGAGTCTTCCAAAATCTGTAAGACTTACTAAAAATTGTTGCTAATTCTTTGCTGCCTGTGTTTGAAGCCTAGAGTCACACTTGAAGAGGGTAAATTTCCAAACATCCATGAAGTTTTAAGAGATTGCTTTGGGTCCCTTCTCTTGCTTCCCACAAAGAGGGTTTAGACATTCTGAGCTTTGTAATGTTCTCCTCAAAAATCAAGTTTTATATGACAGACTTGGGGCTGAGGTACTAACAATTCCAGTATCATGAAAGTTACTATCACTTTATTGTTTAGATACTATTAACCTCATCATTTGTCCAAATACTTGCCTTATCTGCTCTGCATGACAAACATGGAGTGATCTAGGGATCTGAAGTGATCCATCTTAACTGTGTGGCCCTGGCACTACCTAATAAGATTCTTGGGTAGCTGGAGTTAAGTAGGCTATAAAGTACCTAATACTGGAGTTAAGTAGGCTATAGAGTACGAGTGGATGTGATGTTTGGCTGTAACAGCTTGTTCAGTACTTATTTTTATTCTTGTGACTGAATGTGACAGAATAGGGTGATGGTAGATTTTACCAATATGATTTCTGATGTAACAAGGTCAGCAGAGTTGGTAGCCTGATTTTCTCAATACATATCTTAAAGTCTTGTTTTAGTAGTTAACCTTTACCATCAAAATACCCTTGAACCACTCACCTGAAAAGATCTCCAAATCCTTTTCTTAAAGCACTTGTTTTTCTAACATACAATCATATTCTTAAATTTTTTTTTTTTAAAACACAGAAAGATTGAGCACAAGCAGGTGGAATAGCAGGCAGAGGGAGAAGCAAGCTCCCCACTGAGCAGGAGCCCAATGTGGGACTTGATCCCAGAACCCTGGGATCACAGCCTGAGCCAAAGGCCATCCTTAACCAGCTGAGCCACTCAGGCGGCCCTCAGATTTTTTAAATGATATTTTAAAGACTTTATTAAGAGAGAGAGCACAAAAGAGGGGAGGGTCAGAGGGAGAAGCAGACTCCCCGCTAAGTAGAGAGCCTGATGCTGGCCTCCATCCTGGGACTCTGGGCTCATGACCTGAGCCGAAGGCAGATGCTTAACCAACTAAGCCTCAAGGTGCCCCTCTTAGATCAAATTTTTATCTAATAACACAGCTAACTTTATTCCCAGAACTGGCTTTGAAACACACTGTTGTCTTATATTTTTAAGATAGTTCTTCTGGAGGAAGAAAAATGGATGTTTAATGATCATTAAAATACTTGTTGCTACTTACAAAGCTAAAATGCTGCTGCAGGAGTTGTAGTTAAGGTTCTCTGAAATGTCTAAATTTTTCTGCTAAGAACATTTTCAACACTTTTAGCAATTTTATTTATTCTAATCTATTTTTATGAATGCATTTCTTCTTTCAGGCCTTCAGTGGTGGCTATTATAGAGGTGGGTTTGAACCCAAAATGACAAAACGAGAAGCAGCATTAATACTAGGCGTAAGGTAAATAATTTATAATATTTGTAACATTTTTCTACAACTCTAGAACTATGAGCAAATATAAAAAGACCTTTTATTAACAGTCATAAAAGTGTTACATACATTTTAAGATCTAAACACTCCCTACAAAAGTCCAATGAGAAGGCACACTGGCACATAAGCACTTTCTAATTCACTGAAAGGCTTTTAAACCAATATTAGCAGTGCACAATGTTGTTATAACATTTTTTTGTAGTGAAGATCTCCATTTCCAGATACTTAAACATGCTTTCCTTTTAAAAAGTCCAACTAATTTTTTAGTATTTGAGAGAGAGAGAGAGAGCGCACGCATGAGGGTGGGGAGGAGCAGAGGGAGAAGTAGGAGACTCCGTGCTAAGCTCAGAGCCCAGGGCGGTGCTCTACCCCAGAACACCAAGATCATGACCTGAACCAAAATCTTAAGCCAGAAACTTAACCAACTGAGCCACCCAGGTGCCCCTCAACTAATTTTTTAAGAATGCCCTATTTGGGGCACCTGGGTGGCTTAGTCGATTAAGTGTCTGCCTTGGCTCAGGTCATAATCAAGCCCCAGGTCCTAGGATCAAGCCCCAGTTCGGGCTCCCTGCCCCCTGAGGAGTCTGCTTCTTCCTCTTAGCTCCTTCCCTTCATCCCTCTTGTGCTCTCCTTCGCTCGCAAATAAAATCTTTAAAAAAAAAAAAAAACAAAAAAAACCCTTTTTGCTAAGGAGCTTTTTAGTGCCCTCATTCAGAAGATTCATCATCCTTATAGGTTAGGAAGAGGTTTCTAAACCACTTTTCATAGTGTTGTGTCGACGTTGACTTGTTTCACAGTTACTTTAATTAGCCTTTGTGTACAATTTTTTGATGTGATCCAGAAGTAAACTCTATCCTTTTCTTTTTAAATTAGTCCTACTGCCAATAAAGGAAAAATAAGAGATGCTCATCGACGAATTATGCTTTTAAATCACCCAGACAAGGGTAAGTAGTCATTAAATTCTTGTACCTGTTTTTAAGAGACTGTTAACTAGTGGAATAACTTAATTCTTGGCTATTCCAAAGGAAATGCCTAAATCTCTGTGTGAGCAGTGTTGCCTAGGCTGGATCCATCCATTTTCCAATGTCTTAAAGGAATAAATCCTGAGTGAGAAATTTATGAATAATAAGCTTACCTAGTAACCACTGTAATTTTAAAGTAGTGATAAGCATTACTATTTTCAGATCTGCAATAGTGATAAAATATGACTTCTACTAGTTTAAATACTATCAATATTGAAGTTTTTGGTTGGGGGGGGTCTATATTATTAAAGGACATGTTAAGTTTCAGTTAAGGAAACTAAGTTTTGTTTTTTTTTTTTTTCCCATTTAGACCTTTGAACTAGAGGTTACCTGTTTAGAAACCCCTTAGATTTGTTTCTGATACATTTCTAAGCAGACTTGGCTGAGTTGAAAGCAAAAAATTACTAGGAATACAAAAACTACAGACCTAAAATCCATGTTCCACTGCTCAAAAAAGGATAGGCCCTTCATTAAGAATGTTTGGAGTTTAAACATGACTGTGATTGTTTGGTATCAGACTGCATTAGTCCCCTTTACAAAATTTACCTTCTATTGGAGGGCTTCTGATTTACATTTAGTGTGGAGCCTATAAAGGTATATTTTCTTATTGGGATGTTGATGCTTGCTGCTCTGAGAACTACATCTTTACAATCAGTGCTCCAGCAGAGGAGTAGGAAAGCACCCATAGGTATTATGAAGGCACAGTAACAGGAATAGAGAAAAACTGTGAAGGACAGAAATAGAGTGGGGTCTTTCCAACAAAGCTCAGAAACCTCTGAGAACCATGTTTTCAAAGTAACGTGGTACAATAAATTCATGTTCATTTACGACTTCTAATCCTCATAAATAGTAACTTATACTATTTCAAGGTCACATATGTGGGGTTTTTTAAAAATTCTATCAGTTAAGTTTTTAAAAGTGCCATTTATGTGGAAATCTTCATGTGAATTCATTTCCCATTGGCCAAATATATTACAATTTGGTCCCGTGGTTGCTGTGTTATGGTTATTTTAAAAAGTCAAAATACCATTTCTACTAATTCCACCTCCCAGATAAGCAGTAGGGATCCTTGAAATAGGTTTTCACCAAGCAGAAATTGAGAAGCCATATTAAAACTATTCCTTTTTTCTCTTTCTTCCTATAGGAGGATCTCCTTATATAGCAGCCAAAATCAATGAAGCTAAAGATTTACTAGAAGGTCAAGCTAAAAAATGAAGTAAATGTGTGATGAATTTTAAGTTCTTGTTAGTTTATGTATATGAGTGTTAGCTTTTTATAATAAAATGCCTCAAAGCTACAAATTTTAAAAATGATTTAGTACAAACTAAACCAAAGGATTGGTAGAAGTTTTTACTTTGAATGTGAGGATTTTAAATCACATATAGAATACTTGGATTTAACATTCAGTTATTATAGATAGATACCATTTGAATAGAAATAGACCTTCTCTGGCTTTGGAAGGAGCCCCGAATCTAATGATACAATGAAAAACTGGTAATTAAAATAGTGTGATCCTATGATGGAATGTACACAGGTTGTTATAGGAGGGATTTATCTTATTGGGAGAAAAGGCAGCTCAAAGTTCAGAAAATCAACCCCACTGCTTGGAACCTTAAATTTAAAAGTGAGTTTAGGGGGGCACCTGGGTGGCTCATTCGTTAAGCGTCTGCCTTCGGCTCAGGTCATGATCCCAGGGTTCTGGGATTGAGCCCCGCATCGGGCTCCCAGCTTGGTGGGAAGCCTGCTTCTCCCTCTCTCACTCCCCCTGCTTGTGTTCCCTCTCTCGCTGTGTCTCTCTGTCAAATAAATAAATACAATATTAAAAAAAAATTATTAAAAAAAAAAAGTGAGTTTAGGGGCGCCCGGGTGGCTCAGTGGGTTAAAGCCTCTGCCTTCGGCTCAGGTCATGATCCCAGAGTCCTGGGATCAGGCCCCACATCAGGCTCTCTGCTCAGCGGGGAGCCTCCCTCCTCCTTTCTCTCTGCCTGCCTCTCTGCCTACTTGTGATCTCGGTCTGTCAAATAAAAATAAAATCTTTTTAAAAAAATTTAAAAAAAAAATAAAAGTGAGTTTAGCCACAGCTTCGACGTTAAGAAATCTAACTATATCCCTATCTATATATAATTGACAGAACTTAGATTTAATACATTAAAAACTGTTAACAGTGTAAGATTTGACAGCAGAGGCCTTGTTTCTAATCAAGAAGTATTTACATCGTATTGAATTAGCACTTAAACTGAAAGTTTATAAATTATTGAGGGTTTTTTAATGTAAGTTGTTGCATTTGTTATCAAGCTTCGACATAATTAGCAAAACTAAAAACTGATATGCTGTTATTTATGGAAAACATTCAGCATGGACTATTGAGAGAATTTAAGTCATATTTAAATAACATTTATGGTAAGTGGCTGAGACTATTGGTCTAACAAAATATAGAAGGATCTGAACCAGAGGACATGTGAAGACATCTGAAGTAAAAGTCTGTGGCCTGTAGCAGGAATATTATCATTAGCTCTAAGATGGTAAGTCATACTACCTATCATCTGAACTTTACCATCTTAAGAGTTATTAATGGAGAATACAGGACTCTCAAGGTCAGTTAAGATTAGTGGCAGTAATCCTGTTTGGTGTTGGAATGTGTTTACTGGCACTTCAGATTTGGGTTATATCTGTTCTTTCTTTTCCACCATTTTCTTAAAATCTGATTAAGTCTACTTGTTATGATTTAGAGCAGGAGAAAGCACCAGCTTAACGCAGCCATGGCTTCTATATAGAATAAATATTTCTAGTTATTTCTAGGGATAAGGGATATGAAGGTACACGGTTATTCAAGATAGTAATGTTTTATGAAATTAACTGAGAACACTGAAATGAGCAAATACTGAACCATGTGTTCATAGGGTAAATAAAGGTTCCTCTGAACCTCTGGGTCATGTTTTTATCAGCCAGTCAATATTTAACCTTGTCTGTCTTTACTTAGAAAGACACCTTATGTTGATTCAATAACGTTAAACTTAGAGCCAGCACTAACTCCTGTCATTACATCACAGCCTTCTAGTGTTTAGGAACATTAGGCAGCTTTTCACTAGGCTTGAAGGCCATCTTAAACAGGAAAATCACCAATAAGCACAAAAATGTGAAAAACTCAGCATTAACTGGACCACAGAAGGGATGTTTATCTACAGTATGGTAAAATAAGGCAAGCATAACTATGGGCATTGGGTGATTTAAAATTTTCACCACTCTGAATGTCCATGAATGAGCAGGAAAGTACCTTGAGTATGGATTTTGGGATTACAAATTTTAGCAAACAGATGAATTTGCAAATAAGATTATCTGCTAATAATGAGGCTCTATTTTGTCTTACTTTTGTTTCAGTCTTTTGGACTAATCAAATTTCTTTAAGAAGAGATATTATCAATTAAAAGTTAAAATCAAGTTTTTTAAAGACAAATAGGAACTATGGGCTAATATACCCAGGGGCAATGAAGCATTAACCCTAAAAGGGAAAACGTCATGTAGTGGGTATATTTTCAGGTGTTTAATGCAAATAGCACACCTGTTTTAAAGCAACTATTAAGACAATGAAAAGTACTTCAAAATAACAGGAACACAACAGAGCACATTTCTGTCATAGTAATGTTTTATTTCCTCTAGACTTACCTTTAAGTAGAAGAATCCACAGTTCATTGTAGATTATGAGCCAAACCTACCATTTTTCTTGGGGAAAAAAGTCACTTGTGTGAGGGGTCTAGAACATACTGGGTAACTGGTTCAAGTATGATCTGTGTGAGAGTGCCTTCATCTTTCAATGTTTTTTTTTTTTTTTAAACAAAATACTTGATGTGTAATGTTATTGACTACTTACAGTGTACTAGCGTTGTGCTATAAGCAAACATTTAAGTATGTTTTACAAGTAAGGAAACAATATTCAGTGAAGTTAAGTAATGCTGATCTTTCTCAAACCTAAAGTCCACATGTTGTTAACCTGCGCTGTGATACGTGTCACAAACTTGGTAACCAGGGATGTATCCCTTGGTGGTAATGAAATTTGAGTCTGAGAATTGTCATTACACCTTTGGCATGGGGTCTTTTTATCAGTAGGTACTCAGACTTTTTCTTCTTCAAGGGGGAGGTAGGTATGCACACAGCACTAACAGATAGGAGGTGCAGGTTTCGAGTCAAACTTAGTAATAGGCAGGCTTTGAGTATACTACCTATATGCTTAGGCCTCTGCCTTCCCATTGGTTAATGGCCAACTTAAAAAGTGAAGGTTCCTCCACATTTTATGGGTAGGGAACCAAAAAGAACAAATTATTTCAGAGGTTACTCTGAACTAATGAAACTGTAAGCAAGCCCAGGGGTCTTCTCCAATTTACTGTGTTCATTTTTTAACACGGTTCTCCCTATATTAGTCTTGAATATGTAGGTTATAAGAAATTCCTACCCACAGCCTTAATGTTAGATCTCACAAAGCAGAGATGTAGTTCCCCTTCTTTGTCCACTCCATTTTGCCTTCCCTGCTTCTGGGTTGACATTACTATAGGAGTCCTATGCTGCTTTGTAAAAAACTGCTTTGCTGGTAATGAAAGTGGGCTATAATGAGTGGTCCTGGAAGTTAAATCTTTTCCCACTCTTAGAATTTTAGGAAAATTATCTTGCCTTCAAGATTTCCAAATGATGGGAATACCTATTGAAGCATTAAAAAAAAAAAAAAAGTATAAATCAGCATCCCAGAACACCCAAACCATTTACGAAACAACAGAAACAATTGAGAACTTGTATGAAAACAGGTGGAGAGGTGCCTGGGTGGCTCAGTTGTTAAACCTCTGCCTTTAGCTCAGGTCATGATCCCAGGGATCCTGGGATTGGGCCCCGTACTGGGCTCCCTGCTCAGCAGGAAGCCTGCTTCTCTCTTTCCCACTCCCTCTGCTTGTGTTCCCTATGTCAAATATATAAATAAAAAATCTTAAAAAAAAAAAAGGTGGCATACTCCTATATTCTAATTTTAGAAGCTTGATTAAAGGTTTTCTCTACTAACCTTAGTTTATAGCGAAAGCAAAAAAGGTAGCTAGAATAAGGCAGCTAGAAAACCACTAATTGGAAGGTGTTAGATTAACATCTTACTAACACAAGAGTAAAACCCTAAGCATGTTGAACTGTGCCACACTAAAAAGCTGTACTCAGCATATTGAAAATGTACGCCCTACCTTAAAACCCTGCGTCAGAAATCTTTAAAAAATTCAGTCAGGCAGGGGCACCTGAGTGGCTCAGTGGATTAAGCCTCTGCCTTCGGCTCAGGTCATGATTTCAGGGTCCTGGGATCAAGCCCCACATCGGGCTCTCTGCTCAGCGGGGAGCCAGCTTCCCCCCTCCTCCCCACCTGCCTCTCTGCCTACTTGTGATCTGTCAAATAAATTAAAAAAAAAAAAAATTCAGTCAGGCATAATGGATCATTTAGAATTGGAAAGTCAGGTTTTAAGTTTCCACAGTTCTGTCTAGAATACCGAATTCTGTTCAAATGGGAGAAGAGTAGAATAGAAAAAAAATAAATTTGAGGTAAAGTACAAAAACACTATTTAAAATGCTAGAGTGGGTTTTGGTTATAGAAAGAATCCTAAACTGAGAATAACACTGAGTACCAGGAAACTTCAATGACCTAAGCTCTGCTTTTACTATTTTGGCACTGTTGTTCAGGGTTCACTGTGTCTGCTTACAGCTAACTGTTGCCTTAGGAACAGGATATAGGAAGAGCTTCAATACAGGAGCACCTGAGTGGCTCAACACATCCAACCCTTGGTTTCAGCTCAGATCATGATCTCATGGGTTAAGGGATCAAGCAGAGTCTGCTTTAAGATTCTCTCCTCCTGTCTCTGCCCACACTCTCTTTCACTACCAGATAAATAAATCTTAAAAAAAAAAAAAAAAAAAGCTCTTATCCAGTGTTATCAATTAGTCCAATTACTATAGACAAAGTCCATAGTATTTAGTGTTTAGGTATAATCTGGATTATGTTAACACTTGCTGTTACTTCATTCAGTACAGTTACAGTTAATGGAATTTCAAACATAACGTTGAGATTCTTTCTTTACAATCTGATAATGGCAGGTCAAAAAATGAAACTCAACCAGGCTGAGGCAAAAGCTCCAGGCAACAAGACAAATTCATTTATCTACAAAAAACTACTCTAATACTCTCTTTTAAAAAAAAAAAATACTTTTGACAGTCCAAGTAAAAGAGGTACAAGACATTTGGAAAATATCTCTAATTTCATTCCAAGAAAAACATACCAATCACTGAAACACAAATTTAAGAAGCTATTCACTAGTATACTTAATAGTGAGGCTTTAAGACTGGTAATGTCAGTGAAAAATATTCTTGCCTTTGCTTTTTTTCTGTCCTTAAGATTGCCTACAACATTGGGAATGTCTGGGTTAGGTACACAAACTCCCAATTCTGTACACCTTTATCTACAATGTTCAGATTATTAGAGGAAGAAAGAGGCAAGGCAAATGGACTGGTAGAAATCCTCTTACAAAGATTATAGCTTGCATTATAGCTTATACCTTGAGTACTTGTAGTAGTAATATGGAAGGTACAGATGATTCTGAATCCAAAGCAATCCACTGATAAAATAATAAACCCTTCTTACAAAATATATTTCCTTAAAGAATGTACATCCCTCATCGAGAAATAAGGGATTTATTTTCTGGATGATTAGGCTCTTGCTTGGATTTGTAGAGTAAATGATCATACTTAAAAATGTATTTAGGTTGAGCCATAGGAAATTGTCACTTTTCGTGGGTCAAAAATGGTCCACTACTGGCAATTTCCTATGGCTTAACATAACTGACTTATTTTCAGTCAACAGTTGAGTGCAACTTCAAATTACTACCACTTGGCAAAGTTTAACTAATATAGACTGTGACTGTTACTTTATTGCAAATCCTGAAATAAAACCCCAATATTATCAAAGGTTGTAACTACTATCCATTCAAGAACACTTCCTAATAACTAAAAGTTTTAAAACGGAATCACCAAATTCACTATACCAGATATCCTTTTAAAAGGTACTGGGGATCCAAACCGTAACAGCAGAGATAGGAAACTGAGTGAGGCTTCACACCAAACATCTCTTGCCTTTTGGAATTTTGTCAAACACACAAATCCGGTTCAAATTCAAGTTCCTTGAGGCCTTCTAGAAAATCCAAGTGTAAAGTCTGCTTTACCCTCATCCCAATAGTCATCCAACACAGGACTTACTTCATTATAGCTAGTTGTCCATTCATCTGTCCTTATAAACTAAGCTCATTGTAGGCATAGCCTATGAGAAAACTAGGTTGCTTTCAACCTCAAAAAAAGGCGTATCTGTGGGAAGACAAATGGTACAATTTCCCAATCCAACTGCAACATTTAGTTTATATGCCAACTCTACAGAGACCTTTCTCAAGTTACACATTCAACTCACAGAAAACAATACCTACAAACACTTGTGACTTAGCATGAAGATGATGGATCCCAGCAACAAAAGAATGGCTAACATGGAGACCTGGAATACAAAAAAATACCAGCTACTTTGCCTCTTCCTCACTAGCTTACTGTCATCTGTTCTTAGATTACTTACATATACCTGTACTTTTTTTTTTTTTTTTTTTTTTTTTTGCAAAATCATTCAAGTGACCTCCCTCAGCCTGGTTCTAAGTAATGCCTGTTAGGTTTTCATGAACTCACCAGTTTGATGTGCTGCTTCTCAACTCCACATTAAAATACACAACTGCTTAAAAACTGGTATACTCCTACTATAATTTTACCAACAGTGACTGAGCTATCAACAAAACCCATTTACACCATTTTGCAAAAGTCTTAAGCCCACTTAAGGCTTTAAAAAGGTGATTCCAGGGCACCTGGCTATCTCAGTTGGGAGGGTATGTGACTCAATCTCAGGGTTGAGAGTGAGTCACACATTGGGTATAGACATTAAAAATAAAATCTATAAAAATGAATAAAAAGGTGATGCCAAACAAAAATACTAGGCTTCCCAAGGTTTCAGGAAAAGATTTTTGCCCCCATGTAATCTTAATAAACTTCTGTGTGTGACTTCACATAAGTATACTGAACGTGAGGGCTGCACAAGACCTTTATTTTTTATTATTTTTTTTTGCTTGAGTGTCTTTTAACATGTCCTAACTTACCAGTAAGTTTTCCCATAGCAACATCTTACTTAACTGGTGTAGTAGTAGCCAAAAAAGATACACGCCTCAAAATAATTGGAAGGCTACCTGAATCAACAATGGTTACTACCTTCAGGGAGTGGGCCTTTTCACTTCTAAATCAAAGTATATTGTATTTATCCCACGAAAAGCCTGTTATAGGGAGTGTCTGGTGCTCACAGTTATGCATCCGACTCGACTTTGGCTCAAGACATAACCTCAAAGTTATGAGCTCAAAGCATCAGGCTCTGTGCTGGCCCTGTGAAGCCTGCTTAAGATTCTCATTCTCTCTGCTCCTCCCGCTCTCTTGGGAAAAAAAGGCAAGCCTATTATGGTTCTACAATATACAAGCCATGAGGTTTAGTCACTTGTAAATAATGAAATCTTGATACTTCTTTCCTAGAATATGGTTACTCAAGAACTGCTTGCACGATGCCCATTTTCTGAGATGGTTTTACTTTACTTTCTCAATGAAACAATCTTTATGAAAGAATATTAGTAAAATCTATTCTACGTGAAAGAAAACAAGAAATCATTTTTTATTTATACCGTATTTATCAATTTGGGAATTAATTCTCATACCTTATAATTTATCTATAACTGTTACTGAAGAGAAGAAAAAAAGGCTAACAATTGTACTTCTAACCTTTAATGATTTAAAAAAGGTGTCTGTGGGTTAAGTTTTTAAAAATCAGAATAAGAATTATTTGATACTGCTACTCAAAATTCAACGACTGCCCTATTCATACCACATCTTACTTATAAATTCTGTTACTAGGGTTTTAGGAAAAAGCATGTTAATACCATCACATCTTAACTTCAGTGATAATAAATTTGAGGTCGGGGTTATATGGACACTGCCCTGGCAAATACATTTTTAGCAGTACCTTGAAATGTCTTTCAGTCATTATAAATTAAAATCACTCAACAGTTTTATGTATAAAACAAACTAAGATTATGCACATAAAAAACACTTTTCAAATACCAAATGACAGAAAGGACTGTCTTTCTTGCTCAGGGGTCTATGTATTTCTATGGGGGAAAAAAAACCCTCCACCATAAATCCAAATGTGGATTTACTTTACCCTCCAGTAAATCCATATCTGATATGACCTCACATATATCTGCATAATTATTTTATCATTGTTACTCTGAACACATTTTATGTGAAGGCTTTATCTTCCTAAAATTAAGCCATGTGGCTAAAATACATACAAAAAGTACAATCATTAACATGACACCCTTCAAAATTACTTGAGAATCAGAAACCAAGTTAATGGTCTACTATTTAAAAATTGCTCACCATAATTATTTTATAAAAATAAATTTTAATAAATTATCAAAGGCCAAAACTAAATTCTGGATTTACCCAACTGCCTTCCAAAAGTTGCCTTTGATAAGATTATAAAGACTTTACTAGTATCAAATGTATGATCAATTCCCTAAGCCAATCTATTCTAACAGACTAAATTTTAAGTGCTAAGATTTCAAAGGATGCATTACAAAATGATTAACTAACCAATTAATATTTTAATACTATTTATGAGCAAGTGTAAATGCTTTTTAAAAAGCAATCAACTATTCTAGAATATTAATAGCTCCAACTACTTTGCTACATTTGGTATAAAAAGTAGAAAGTTAAAAATCAGCAAATGGAAGATCAAAGTTTATTTACTACCTGCATACAAAAACATATTGCACATCAAACAACCAAAATCAAAAAAAAAAAAAAAAAGAAAAAAAAAGAGAGAGAGAAAGTAAAGAAAAAGAGAAAAAAGGAAAAGATTCTCTACTGAAGACTAACATGTACTTTTATACAGAATAAACCTCCTGGAAATTGATCTTTTCAGTAGTTCAGGTTATGTCTGAAATGGACATGACTAATTCAGCTTAGTGTTTTAACTAAAGCTATGTTTGATTTTTAAATACTGTACACTTTAATAAATAAACCAAACAAAGCCTCAATGTAGAACAGTCACTGCCAATAACACCCAGTGTCCCTGCAGATGAGAATTTAACAAATGTATTCCAGTGGTCTGCAGATTTTCCTCCACATACAGCATTTAAAAAACACATTAAAACAGACCAGTTTCCAGACTAAACTAATGGAGAAATTACAATTCAGTGCAAAATATTTTAGACTGCATTTCATTCTAGTTTTCCTCAGGTGAAGAAGTGGTTGCATATTATTAAAAATGTAACAAAAGCAGCTAATGCTTTCATAAAGAATATTACGTTAGGGATCCCATCCCTCCCACCTCCCCCCATCTCTGCCATATTTGGAAAACAAAATAACATTTCCTATAGCCAGCAACTTTTTTTTTAATGTTACATATACTATTCTCAAGGCACATCTGATGATATATTTTATAACACAGTAGGTGTCAAAGTATGTTTAACATATGATATCTTCAGGATCCCTCCCCTTTCTGAATTCCAAATGGAGGAACTGAAAGTGCGATGTAAAGACTGGCGATCCATATTCTATCTTTGGCAAGCTTGTACAAGCACTATTGTAAAATGTAATGTAAAAGAACTGTAAACTAGGAACTTCTTCAGTTTATGAAACACCATTCAGGACTGCTGCTTCTTGAGTGTTTTCTTCTTTTAAGATATTAATCTTTTCTTCTCCTGGAGTACGCTGTAGCTTAGAAATTTCATCGCCAGAAGCACTAGTTGGGCCATTTATTGCCTTTTCTGAAGGACCATGCTCTTCAATCACATCTTTTGCCTGCCAAAGGGAGACAACTTTTTCAACTTCTTTATAAATGAAATCTACAGCTGAGGAGGAAAACAGCTATATAAACATTAATTAGCTAATAAATAATTTGTTTCATAACCAAATTGGATCAAAGAATTAAAATGTTAAATTTTCAAAGCATGTACCAATGTACTCCACCTCTATTGGTCTTTCAACTTCTATCTCTAGTACCTGGCAGTGCTAAATTACAGAATAATCTACTTGTTTACTGAAAACTTGAACCTAATTTTAACCACTGGAAAGCTCACCATGTAAAAGACATAAAGTTAACACACCCTAAGCAAATAAACCCTATTTTACTCACCTTTTTTTTTTTTTGAAACTCATTTACATTTCAAATCCCTTAAAGCATTTAAAGAATTGAAACTTAAAAGGTCTACATCCATCACTGAGAAGAGGTATATATAGCCTACTGCTCCCCAAATTAAGCCAACAGTCTCCATGCCCAATATCTTTGGGTAGACTGAATTTTACAAATGCTATTTGGAATTTTAAATGAAAAGTATTCCAGGCTCAAGCATGCATATCTTCAGTTACCTGAGGCCAAGAACAAAATCAAGAGTAGTCTTTAAAGTATTATTTGTCCAAAAAAAAAAAAAATAATAGTAATAAAATAAAATATTATTTGTCTAGTTGGGGAAACAAGTGATCGATCACACAGTAAGTTAAAAAGTAAAAATAAAGCTAAACCATACCAAAACAAAACAAAACAAAAAAACCCAAAAAGCAAAAACAACAAAAACCTACAGGTTAAATTCTCCTTACCATTTCTTTCTTGTTTTTAGCCAAAGTTTCCCTTGGGAGGTTTCTTTGTCTGCTCTGAGACTCAGCTCTAGAAATATAATCTGCAACTGTGACTGTTGAAGATGAGAAAAAAATTACAGGTGTTGAAAAATATTTCTAAAGTTTATTTATGGATAAAGAGTAATTTTACTTTTAAGATAAACTGATGGTAGGTAACCCAATTTCAAAATTTTAAGCTGGGTACCACCTCCAACCAAAAACAAAACTTGAAAAATATGTCTGTGATTTAGTGCTGACAACAGAAAATTCCAAGCTGGAGATCCAAGGAAGCCTAGATTTAAGTCTATTTTCAGAGAAATCCAGCCATTGCTTCTGACTGACTCTACAGTTGTGGGATAAAGTTTGATAAGAAATCCACAACCAGGAATAGGAAATGCAGCATTCTAAGCCCAGTGTTTGCAATTCTCAGTGGGGGAAAAAAAAATGGGACATATCTGGTGCAAATCATGGTGTGCTATATATATACTTCGATTTGAAAATTTCATCAGATCTGATTTACTCAAATATAGTGGTTGTTTTGTTTTTCTTTTTTGTTTTAAAGGCTAAGTAAGATATCCAAGTGTGGTATTTCATGGTTCCTTTCTCACATTCCATAGTAGAAACCATTCTGAATGATCTAAAATAAAAAACTACAAGCCAACTGAAGATGGCAGAACACCACCCTAAAAACATGGACAATGATCCTGGTGGGAAAAGGGCCACCATTAATTCAGTAACCACCTCTTCCCTGCTTTGACAATCTTTCAAGGGACTGACTGACGTGTTATATGTGTTTGCAAGGACATGGATGGCAATAGTGAGACTAAGCAAGCGAACACTCTTCTGTCAACCCAAGTACAACATCTCTGTTCTATAGGTACTCTGGCCTCACTTTATACCTCAATCCTTTCTCTTTAGGACTTACAATTTAGAATTCATAATTTGGAGAAATATCAAAATAATCGCTCTCTTTCAAAGAATTATATTCTACCGGAGACTGGGGAGGAAAATCTCTCATTATATGAAATATAGTTTATTTTAATTTACGGGATGAGAGCAAGTTAATGTAAAGAATGAAAACTCAAGTAAATTTTAAAGTATTTATTAAAAGTCACTAGGGGAAAAATGGTCCATCAGGTTCAAATTATATGAAAATAAGTCATTTTGATAAAGAAGCTGGATGGTATTTACAATTCATTTTTTGTGACCACGAATTAACATACTACTTTTTATAAGATCCAAAATTTTCTGAGGCTACTCAATGAATCTTAAATTTCAAAGAAACTACTTAATTCAGAATACAAATCATTTATAAGAAATAACACCAAATGTGTCCTGCCTAAAACTGCCTCTTTTCTTCCAAATTGTAATTTAGAGCTTTAAAATAAAAATCTTCACATAAATCCACTGTTAATTTACAAATACATTTAGTAATAGTTTCCAAACCTAGGAAGAGGAATACTATCAAATCCATTTCATTATTATGTCTACATACATGGTAGCAAAACCATCCTAGAAATGATTTCTAGTTTGGGGAGCACCTTAATGAATTAATTCTGTCTCTAGATTTTAGCCCTCAGTGACACCTGAAGAACTCAGCTACTTGGAAACCATGCTGCACAAATTTATTGCTAAATTTGATTATGTGACAATTCTTAGAACCCTTCATCCACTATGTACACGCACAGCATAATATACTTTGATATGGTTATCAACTAAATTAAAAGGCACTTAGCTGGTAAGGTAAAAAATTACAGCACCCCTCTGCCATAAAGGGAGGTACAACCAAAAACAAACTAAGGTGACTCAAAGCCTGTTTACAGCCAGTCCTTGTAAGAACAAGCCACTTGAAAGGACATTAAAGATTAATATAATACAATTCCTAGGAAAAAAAAATACAGCAATTTGTGCAGCAAAATTCGGGACTGTTGAATTTCCTAAGGGGCCCAAGTAAATCAATTGGACACAAGTGTATATAGTCACTTTCTAAGTATAATAAGGAATATTCACTGCTTAATTTACACTAAAGACAACAAAAAATTTTGAGCAAATGAGAACAAATAAAATGATTGTGTATATAAGGGAATGTTCATATTTTTAGATGAGGCTACTTTTCTAGAAGTACTGACAGGAGCAAGGAGAAAATGATGTGCCTGTTCCATCAATGCTATCTTAGGGGGCTTTTAGGGGAAGGACAGGGAAGGCAGGCAAGCAAGACAAGGATTTCTGAACATGAGAAGCAGCAATTCCAAGAACAGAGTAAAACAGGAATAAATATAAGTATGGAACAAATCATCAAATTACTGGATACTCCAAATTACTCAAGTTTCACTTAATATCACACAGAAATCTCTCTGCCTCTTCCTTAACACCACAATGTTTTTTATGTCCATTGACTTGGTAATAAACCACCATCCACCTAGTTAACAAAATTATGTTGTTCTTTACCCTATGTTAAGCCCAAAACAATAGTCTGAATTTTCTTATTTATAAAGTACAGCAGTATTCACTGCCATGCCAACTTTACTTTAAACAGTGTAAATATGACCTCTTGATCCAAAGCTATTTCTAACACTATAGAGAGAGGGAAGAGAAGGAAAAACAGTAAGAAACATTTTCTGGAAACTTTCTATTTTTGACAATATTTAATTCCTTTTAAATTTACAACTATCTTTAAAACATGAAGTTTTCTTCAAGAATGGGAACACCTTTAAACCCGTTTTCCCAAATGTCTCTACAACCGCTAAACTTAAAATTTATTAAAGATACTTGAATTTACATTCTTTATTTGGGGAAAACACATTCAAGAATTTGCTTTGGAAAGAATGCAGAAATTGATTAGTTTAAAAGGGGTTTATTTTTGGTGCACACAATTTCTTCATTGTGAATATACACGTGATTCTCTGTATACAGGAAATGGAATAATGTTCAAAATAATATAGACACAGCAAACAAAGTTTCTTTGAAGTTACGAAAAATTATGACTACTTAAACATTCTAAAACTAATAAATAAGTACTATTAATGTGAATAGTTAGTAGGTGTAAGGGAAAAGGCATCACACTACAATAAACAAACAAAACATAACATGCATTCCTCTTATTAGAAAAAAGACACTTTCAAGTATTTTTCTCATTTATACTTTTTTTTTAAACTGTGGGTATTACAATGCCCACAAAAATGAGGTGCTGAATTCAGATATAGTAAGCGGCACCATGCAAAAGTTGCCCCGTTTTGCCAATCAACCTCAATCACAATCTACAACAAAGTCCCTGGGATGGCAGGCCCAAACTCAAGTATGCAGAATCTGCCAAGTGGACAAAATAATGGTCTTCTCAACAGTATTTCCATGTGAAAAAAAAATTAAGACACAACATTAGTTCAATTAGACAGGTTACTAAAACATTTACGGAGTGAAGGAAGAATGCATTTTCTTAAGAGAAGTAGTCTTATTAGTTGAGTAAAACAATTTATGCAATGCACATCTTCAATGTATATGCACACATGTGTACATGTTAAGTGTAATATATTTAGAAAGCAGACACATGACATTTTTTTCATGCTTGTGACCTGGTGTTGTCAATAGGTCCACTCAAGTTACCTGGCTGTCTATCTTCTGCCTGACCCCTGAAACGACGCCTGCGGCTACGATTGCGTCGCTGGGGTTTTTTTTCACTATCATCTGTAATTGCAAAGTTTACCATGAACTATTCTGACAAAAACAAAAGCAAAACAAAACAAAAAAAAAATTCTTTCCTTTAAAGATTTAAGAATGGGGAAAGAGAACTTTCTAATTAAACAGGGAAGATAAAAGAACATGCATTACTGACAGGAAAATAATTTTGTAGTTTTAAGCATTTCAAATAGATTAAAAATGGAACTATCATCTGGAAATTAAGAGGGTTTTAAACTCTTAATTGAACAAAGTCAACAATTACCATCATTCAGGAATAAAGTCTTCCTTTCCAATACAATTCAGGTTTTTTTTGTTTTTTGTTTTTTTTTTTTTTTTTAAGCAAAGTTAACATTTTAGCCCTTTGGAAGTTAATGTCTACTCATTATACATATCTTCACTAGTGTCATTTACAATAAATTTTAAAGAGGCAAGCTGAAAGCCCAATTTTGGTTTAGGAATAATAAGAGTATTAAGTGCCTTGCAGTTTGAATATCCATACTGAGTTAATAGCATCAAAGGGCACTTTAATAAACCCTTCTGATTTCCAATTTAGCTATACAAATCTGAGAACTAGACACTTCAGACAGACACAAAGCTATCTATCTTTGTTGAAGTAAATACTAAGAAAAATTCAATATGCAAATTGCATTACGTTTTTTTTTTTTTTGAAAAAAGCATCATACATTGATATTATACAATAATATATCTTTTCCCTAAGTGCTTACATACCTAGCCCATTTTCATTAACTGAAGCTGTATCAGATTCAGTCATCCCATCCATCAGAACAGCATCTTCATCAGTCCTTCTTCTACGAGACCGCCTACGACGGTTAGTACTGTGATGAGATTCGCTGGCATCAGTGTCTGCAGTCTGATCAGATTCTGTATTATCAAGTAAGCTGTATGGATTGCTGTCTGGATCTTTGAGCACTATATGCATGTCAGAGGCAAGAAATATTTGTTTAAGAGAGCTGCAGTCATTAGTAATGTTTTGATCTATATTGAACAGTATCTATTAATGATAAAGAAACTTCAATTCTCCCCCTATATTCTGTATACAAATAAATGTTTTCTGTATCACTATTTTCCCTGGAAAATAACAAATATGAAGAACTTTAATGGCAATGAAAATTAAAGCAGAAGATGAACAAATACCCTCAGCTTCCTACCATTTCTTGGACTTGTTTTGAAAATGTATTAGGAAATAGTGTATTATTATATGCTACTTTTGATATTTGCATTCTTAGCTAATCCTGCCCAGAGGCTAGAGAAATGAAAGTGAAGAGAAATATTAAACTTTGTCTCCTTTATGGAGTTCAACATGTCGCTGCTTCTTTGTTATGTTATGTTCAATGTTAATGAACCAAAGCAATCAAAACAAGTCTACACAAAAAAGCAAACTTTAAAAAAAAAAAAAAAAAAGGTTCAAATTCTAACTGGTAATAAGAAAATAGAGAAATGAATGTTGACTAGTACTCCCATCTCCAGAAACAAAAGAGTGAAGGTGGGGTAAGGTGGGGTGAGGGTGGAAAAGGGAAAGTTTTAAGATATAATTCATAAGAAAAAAAATACCCATCTTACCTATGTGCATTTATTGCCTCCACCAATCAAATTACAGAAGAAATTCACCTAATCACGATTTTTCCTAAGTTTCCTTTGGTAACAGCTAGCAAGCTAGCATCTTTGCAAAAGACACTAAGTTTATCCATTAATCATAAGCACTAGGTAAAGTACATTTATTGTGAAATTCAGCATACTACAATTTTATAAACCTCAGAAATAGCAATTAATGTAGTAAAATATAGAAAGTATTTCCCTAAATGCCTATCAACTAAACTTAGGGCTTAAAGAATATCACTGGAACTAGAGTACCTTTTTAAAAGCCCCTAAAATTTTGTGATTGTTCCAAGTTTTTTGTAGTTTGTAAGCAAGTCTGGTGTACATTTAATTATATATACGTATGTTCTACAACATTTAAAATATTATATAAACTTTCATAGGGCATATGTGATAACATTAAGAGTGGTTTCCTTAAAGTGGTATACAAAAAAATATGTAAAGGTTGTATCTGATATAAGACAATTCTCCCCTCTAAACCATTATACTAAGAAAAACATTCTCTCAACTCCTATAAAAAGACATGAGTAAAAAGTTGCTTATGCACCTCAGTTTTCAGTCTTCTAAACAGCCTTGACAGCTCAATTCCTCAAACAGTTAAAAAAAATTTTTAATTTCACAATTTTTCCTCTGTTCCCAAAATAGTACATAGTAAAGCAAAAATTCCTCTAAGTTAATTTTCAATATTAAGTATGTAAAGTTACTTAGACCTTTCTGTGCATTAGAATTTTCTGGGTTGGTCTGGCAAACAAATATATAACCCAAATACTCTAGGGAAGAAAAACACTCTAATTACATAAGCCCCCCAAAATTAGAGAAAGAAATCTTGGACTATCAAAAGAGAGAATCAGTCAACCAAAATTTCTCTGACCTGAATATTCTAGCTAAACCTTCACTAAGAAACACCCTAGTTTCTCCTTATCTTGCCATATGCTCCACGACTTTCCTCAACGAGAAGACACTTCCCAAAATGGGTGGCCTTGGGAAATGAATTAGCTTGTATAAAGTTATACTGTTTACAAAGTAAGGATGCTGACATAGTATATAAAAAACTACCAGAACTGATGGAGGATTTGCCACCACGTGGTCCACCACGACCTCGACCCCCTGAAACACTTCTCCCTCTTCCTCCTGGGCGTCTCCTGCTGTCACGCTGATGTCGGCTCTCCCGATCATCTTCTCCTGCCAATGACCAATCACTCAGCTCATCTTTACGCTCAGATTCTGTTTCAGAGGGGTTAGACAGCTCAGAGTTTGTACCTTGGGAAAGAGAACATAGGCCAATTAGATTCCAATTTTTTTTTTTAAAGGGAAAAAGAGGAGTGAAATTTTCCAAAATTATTTCCTACAAATCATTATTTTAATAACCTTAATTGGCTGATTCAAAGAAAGCTAAATAAAAACTGAGTTTGAAATTTACTAAGAAACAATTACATGTTAATACTGGATTAGTAATACAGAATCTACTGGTGGAAAATTAAAAACTGGTTTGGATGTGCAGAAACAGAGCCAATACAGTATTATAGAAAACACACAAAACTTTACATATATAATATGCAAATGCAGTTAGTATGGGAAAATAGTAAAACAAATTTGGCCAATTTCTGTTTTAAAAACAAATTAGTATAATAAAACTGCTACCCAATATTTAAAAGCAGATTTAATTGTATTTAGAAAAAGCAACAGTTTAATTATACTGTGCTCCCCCATTATTTCAGTGATTCTAGGAAGCACATTTTTCACTCTTACCATCTCTCAAATCACCATGTTTCTTATAACTGATGGTCTCTTATAAACTTAGAGTGTATTTTTAGTGGCTGTACATAAAATAATTATGTTTTACGAGCAACTGTGGCTTAAATTAGAATACACTATGTGAAATTACAAATTTTAAGAATGCTGAGAACACAACTTTAACCTGACAAAAGAAAAATTCATCATGACTCTAAAGGTTGACAGAGTATTTCTAAGGTTTCAATGACCTATTTTAATACTGACCTTTTAAAAATTTAAACAACGCAAATATTCTATAAAAGCCTGCAACATCATTACTATTATATCACAATTAAAGTGCCAGATTTAGATAACTCAATCACTGCAATACTCACTCCCACATCTAATATTTAATTCTGGGATGCCACTTCCACCCCTTCTTATCGTATATGTCCAAATCTATCTCCTTCAAAGCCCAGTTCAATTCCTAGTTTCAGACCAATTTAACTGAAAACAGACCTCTTCTCTCCTTTTATTTCCTTAAAAGCAATGTGTGTCTATCATGCAATGTTGTCATGTGTTGTCTTCCATTTTTTCCCCCTTTGGATTTACAACCCACTTGGATTTACAACTCACTTGGTCCGTATTTAAAACAGTGGACCTCTAAGTGCCCCCAGACACCTAACAATGTGCATAACAAATCTCTCTTGAGAGAAATGAATCTATTGCATGATTTAAGTTCCTTTATCTCCCAAATAAACGTAATTCCATGATAAACTACAAGTTCCCTACATTTAAACTCAAGTCCCTTGATGATGAAAGTAAAACGTAAGAACTCTTCCAATGTACAAAAGTAGTATTAAGGTACCCAAAATAAAATTTAACAAATGAAGGAGCCTAACAACTTCCTTTCTCCTTTACAGGTAATTCTTTTTTAAAAAATATGGATGTAACCACTCAATTATATAAAAATGATTAATACATTGGAACTATATTTTAGGGAAAAAAATATAGCAAATTTCTAGTATTCCCAAGTGTCTGGGACTGAGGATCTCACAAAAGAAAATGAATCTCCCAAACATTTATCTCTCCAAATGACAAAAAATGTATTAAATGATGTCAAGATTTGTTAGAATAATGGCAATTTATCATTCCAAGAGTCATGAATACACCTTTTGGAATGTGTAAGAATTTCTCAATTTACTGACAAGTACATGAAAACATTACCAAAATGTGAAGATAAGTATTTCATTTTTAAGATTTTTACAAATGTCCCTATTTTATTTTCTCCGGAAATAGAGCATAAAATTTAACTCATTATCACAAGCAAGGAAATTTTTGCTAAACTTTAACCTTAATCTATTATTCTAAATACTTAGGGGAGTGGTCTAAAACATAAATAGATTTCGACAGATAAGACATACTAAAGTCAAAAACAAAAAGGGCTAATGAACTGGCTAATGTTCTTGCTTTAGCCATATTTTAAAAAGCTTAAATGTTTCTGGAATGGCAAAACGACTTTGCAGATGTGATAAGGTTAAGGATACTGAAGTAGAGGAATTATCATGGATTATTCAGGTGAGGCCAAACTAACCATATGAATCTCAGCTGCAGAGAACCAAAGAGAGAGCAGAACTCTGCAGTCACTGGCTTTACAAGACAAGAGGGAGGGCGTCACATGCGAAAGGAATGAAGGTTGTCTCTAGAAGCTGTTACAGGATCAGATTCTATTCTAGAACCTCAAAGAAAGACACACAGCCCTGCTGACAATTTTAGACAACTGAGGGTGCCTGGGTGGCTCTCCACTGGTTAAGTGACTGCCTTCTCTCAGATGATGATCCCATAGTCACAGGATCAAATCCTACATCCTGCTCCCTGCTCAGCAAGGAGTCTGGTTCCCCCTCTGACCCTCTCCCATCTTGTGCTCTCTTTCACTCTCTCTCAAATAAATAAAATCTTTAAAAAACAAAAATTTAGCCCACTGAGACTCATGTTTGACTTCTGACCTAGAAAACTGTAAGATAAAAAAATTTATGTTAAGCTTTTAAGTTTGAGATTTGTTAAAGCATCAAAACACTGCTGAAATCACTACAACCATCTCTTAATTTTGTAAAATATTAAGTTCATGAACCCAAAATTTTTTTAAAATAGAGCTCTAAAATGAAAAAAGAAAACAGGTCTAAAATGATTCATGAAACTAATCCAATTTTTAATGACTCCAACAAATAAAACCTGTTTTTACCAGAATTGTACATCAGATTTTCCCCTCTCTGAAACTTCTAAAATCACGCCTGAAGACACTTCACATCCTTTTTCAATGTTCACGTACATTAAACTTAATAGCTAAGTACTATATTTCATCAACTTCAACATGTCATCCATTCATTTTAAGACTTATTTTGTGTCTTAAAATGTTGCCCATTAGCTTTAAAACATCACCCACTCTAAGGAAAATACCAACTTCAGAGACACTATGAACAAATGTTTCTTTTTAAAGATTTTATTTATTTGACAGACATCACAAGTAGGCAGAGAGGCAGGCAGAGGGAGGAGGAAGCAGGCTCCCTGCTGAGCAGAGAGCCCGACCCCTGGGGCTGGATCCCAGGACCCTGGGATCATGACCTGAGCCAAAGGCAGAGGCTTTAACCCACTGAGCCACCCAGGCACCCCTGAACAAATGTTTCTTATACAACTTACATATTATCACCTAAATATCCTGATATTAAGTAGGTAAGAGATGATCTATAACCAAATTCAAATGGTTTTTCTCTCAAGCTCACTTAAATTCAATAGTTATTTCAAGAAATGTAACACTATGACCAGTCTGCAAAGTTTCAGAGGTAAGAGTGCCATCTACTGAACAACTTGCATAACCTTCAATCCAGATGTTATTCCTCTACCACTCATTACAACTTACTATCTAACTCATAAAAATTTTATCTACTGTCAACAAAGGCATTTTGCAAAAAGACTGGCCTCACCAGTAAGCTGACTTCCCACAGAGGCTTATAAAAGTCTTCAATGAATTCATCATCCTATCATCAAAAAAGCCAAATATGATTATCTGTACTAGTAATCTGTACTTCCAGAATCATTCACTATAATTTCTCTTTAATTACCGATTAATTGTCAGGGCGCCTGGGTGGTTCAGTCATTAAGCATCTGTCTTGGGCTTGGGTCATGATGATCCCAGAGTTCTGGGATCGAGCCCTGAGTCAGACACCCCGCTCAGTGGGAAGCCTGCTTCCCCCTTTTCCCACTCCCCCTGCTTGTGTTCCCTCTCTCACTTGTGTCTGACAAGTAAATAAATAAAATCCTTAAAAGAAATTAGTGGTTAATTGTCTTTTGTAGTAAACGTATTTTCAGGAAATACAGTAGTACTTCACAATTTTCTGCCCTTCAAATGCTAATAAGCACTTACTTTACTAGAATGTTGCTTTCAAGTTTCAATAGTTAACTTTAAATAATAAAAACTATCAAGAAATGAGAACATGGAAATATATGAAAGGGAAGGTATAATTAACCCTTCAGCTACACAACAATGAAAGGCAAATTTAATATAGTTCTGGAATCACTAGATGATCCTTCAAACATGAAATCTGGGTGTGCAATCTGCACACTGTAAGCTTTGTTTATCCATTTTTCCCTAAATGCCTTCTATTTTGGAAAACACTTATGAATTATTTTTTCTAAAGCAGTTATCATGAGCACAGAGGAATGGAGAAAAGAGAAGGAAAAAGAAAGGGAAGAGAACGAGGGAAGACAAAAATCAGGTCACTGCTAAGATCCAACTCCAAATGCAGAAAAATGGAACAACTCCAAAGCTGAAGAAGAATAAGTGAAAATTCAGGATTAGAGAATTGTTGACCACCACCATCCACTGGCCCCTTCCTACATGGGCTAGGGCCCCATCCTCACACTGAAATACATTTTAGAAAAATATTCATTTATAAAATGTTAATTTGGTTCTGGCTTTTTAAAAAAGCCCTCATTTTAATGAAGTGTTATTTCATAAAATAATTCCAGATGTGAGATATTTATATTCAAAACTGCCAAGTGAGCCAATAAAGTGTATTTTATAAAGCTAGTACAGGTGTACTAATAACAACGTTGGCACACTGATTAGCATTATGTTTCATTATTACTTTCCTAGAGAGTAGGCAAAAGATGATTCCTAGTAGTATCATCACAATTACTAGGTTTTTGATACGTAAACATTTTTGTATACAAATATGTATATAGAAATGCCACCTAGATTTACTCTAAATACTTAGAACAAAAATGATCATGAACTGCCAACTTAACAAAATGTCAATGTTTGATCTCATTACAAAGTGGCTTGGAACATCATATACCTTTTACTATCATTAACATAAACTATGCCTTCACTACCACAGACGTATCTCAAAACTATCTCCTGCCCCCAAAGCCAAGACAGAATAACAAACTAAATAACACTGAGCAAAAAGTTTTGAAGTGTCTAAACTAAAACAACTAACAAAAAAAAAACTTTTTTTACCATAACCGGAGGTGTAATTAGGGCCCCGACGACCTCTGCCTCTTCCACTATAAGACCTAGAACCTTGTACAGAAGAGACGGTACTTTCATCAGTGGCATATCCTTTTTCTTTTTCAGGCCCTCTGGTGGAAGAAGGTCTGAAACCCATACCAATCTGTCGTAGCTGTTCATCAATCTGTAGGCGTTCCATTCTTAGCTGTTCTACTTCCTGTAATAAGCAAAACAAAAAAGGGTAAATATTCTTTGTCATACCATTTTTACCTTCTTAAAACCTACAGTTAAAACTATACCCCCTACCAATGAAAGAAGCTGTGATCTTAGTCAATTATTTGGTAAAATACAACTGTGTACCTAGTAAATAGAATTCACAAGGTGATCTGCTGACTCATTTCACTGAACATTTACTGAATACCTTGGTAAGCACTGAGTATGCTAAGTGCTACAAAGCATACAATATAGAGAAAAACGACTCTCCACCTTCAAGGGTTATGTTTAATAGACAAGCCTAAAAGAAACTATCTTCTGGTGCTTACAGAGAAGAATAAATGTTTTTTATGCTAGAACAATATTCACAGTTCGAGTTTTAGTTCTGGCACAATGAATGAACGGACGAATGTTTTGTTAATTAGCAAATAATTACATGATATTACCAGACTCGGCCCTCAAGAAATTAAAACTCTGATAAGTGAAATACAGGTGCCATGTATGAGAGGGACTATTAACCTACTTTTCCATCAAAACGGTGACACCTGAGTTGTGGCCTAGATGAATTAGGAGACTTGGTCATTCAGAAACCGAGGTCACACAGAATATGAAGGTAAGGTGATGAGACCAAAGCTCCTGGCTAAGAAGTAGTAGAGTACTGGAAGATAAAGCATGGGCTTTAAAATGCCAAACTGAATGGAGATTATAAACATGAGTTTTAAAAGAACGACATCATCATGTGTGCTTTTAAAATATTAACATAGCAGCAATGACAGAGTGACTAAAAGGAAAACCTACTGGAGACAGAGGTGCTGAGGGTATCAGAAGAGAAACCTAGTAATAAAAGTAGAAAATGACAATTCCAACTTTTAATAATTTATGGTTACGAATTATCAAATATGGCTATGGGGTATCACCTCTGATCAAATACCACAGTTATGAAGAAAGCCCATCTTACTCCCTGCCCCATTTGCATTTAAAACATCAAGCTAAAAACAAAATGGTTTCAGTATAACACACATATATACGTAAGGTGATGACAAACTACAGGAACACAAGTGAGACCGTTTCTTAAACAGTAAGGAAAGAATGTAAAAGTTCAGAGAAAAAGAGAAACAATGTGCGTAAGACCAGTAATTTTATTATGGCAACAGACCTTTTACTCCTAAATTCTCATATAAGAGAACACAGTAAATCTGAAGCTGAATTAACAAAAATATCTGATGATCTGAAATTTAATACAAATATAAAATTGATGTAATTTAAAGTTTAACATATAAAGCAACAGTGATATGAATGTGAACAGTATACAAACCTTCAAATAAGCAATATGATACTCTAAAAGAACTTGCACATTTCCGATGCTTTCTTTAGTGCCAACAAATACAAATGGAACCATACCCTGTAAGAAAACACAAGATCCTCAGTATTTCATACTTTAACGAAGTTCTAGCCTAAATTTCACATACAAATATATAATTTGGAAAACTTTTCTAAAACAAGGGATTTATAATTAAATACTAAAATTCAAGATGTAAAAATAAACTGCTAAGGGAAAAAAATCAATAGAATTTAAAATAGGTTTTCAATAACACATTGCATTTGCCCTACAACTTAAGTATGCTGAAAATTTAAATTACTTTTAAAATACCAGATTTTCTAATTTCTAATTCAGTCCTTCTCCATATATAAACCACCTTTTAAAGAAATTTTCCTTCAAACTGGTATAAATTTATAGACCAGACAGATCACCTGGTAGTGATGGTTTTAAAAAGGTAAAGCACATTAGGTAGGTTATCCTTAATATGTGCTCACATAACAAAACTGTCAATTATTATGTGCTGGAAGTAGTGCTTCCTGACCATCAACAGAAGTGCCACAAACAAACATTTACACAATGTAAAATAAATACTGATATGGGCCAATATTTAGTCACCAATATTAAAGCAAATCAGAGGATTAACTTCACTCAATTTACAAAAAAATACACTTCTAGCTTCCTAATGGCTAAGGAATAATGAGTAAAGCCTAAATAAACTCCCCTAGTTAGTTTCAGTGTCTCTCGTTTTCTTAATTCTACAGATGAGTTCCTAACAGCTATTTTAACAGACTGGCTTAAGAGGGCATGAAAAAAAGGACTATAAGTTAAGCTTAGGAAGTAAGAAGTCTTGAGCCTGTCCTCAGTAAGTCATGGGCAGATAAGAATGAATGCAAATTTAATAAAAAATGAAGGAGGCATTTAAAAAAAATAAAGATCTAAAATGTTTTAAGCAGATACCATATTTCTAGGAGTGTATTATTCTACACCTGTATCTAATTTAATAGTCATTAGAAAGTAACTTTAAGAAATACTCCAATTAAAAAAAATACTCCCAGTTTTACAGGTGAGAAAGCAATCTGCCCAAAGTCAGACAGTTAGCAAATGAGTCAGCCAATTTCATATCCAGTTACCTAATTCCAAGTAACAACTACTTGTTCTTTGCCTGAATCTACACTAATGAAAAAGCATAAATAAAACAAAGCCTCTATTCTAAAGGCAATCACAATCTCAGAAAAGATACTAAACATTACTGAATTATGCATAGCATTAGTGGTATCAATGAAAAACACAGGAATATTAAATAGAATTTGGATTATGCCACCCCAGATGTGGAAACTTAAGGGGAACTCCTAAGAATATTATTAAAGTAAATGTTAAAAACAAATAGAATTTTACCAAGTAGGTAAAAAAGGGAAAATCTTTCCAGACAGATAATCTACAAAGAATAAGAGAAATACAATGTACCTTGACCCTGAATTTGAGATGCTATCACCAATAGCCAACTCCAGAGAAAAGCATAGGTAAGAACATAACCTTAGAGACACATAGTTTACAAAATATTTTAATGGTCACTACTGAGCCATAATAAAAAATTTTAAAGAGTGATTAATACTGAATATACAAATTTGTTTCTAAAAGTTATTTCAGCGAAATTTCTAGATTTTTAAAAAGATACTATAACTGATTATTTATATTTAATAGATTGCACTGACATTACCAACTAGCACTTCAGAAAAATAAAGCAGGATCCCTGGTTTCTAATATCTTACACCCCCCCCCAAAAAAATTCCCATCGGGAGTTAATAATTTACACACTTTTAAAAAAACCTGGAGAATGAAATATAAATGGATCTCTAAATGATCTATATGTAGGAAATATCTTGCCAAGCAGGACAAAATGCAGAAAATCTTAAGTCATACAGAAAAAAATCTAAAAACAAACAACCAAACAACAAAAAAAATTTTTTTTAATTTTTATTGGGGGAAATAAAGTAGTAGTATTTGTTACAAATAAAAAAAGACTAGCTTCCTTATAATGCAAAACTTCTAATAACTTAGTAATAAAGACAAAAAATATGCAAAAGAGAAGCTGCTTAACAAAAAAATTCAAATGTCTTTAAAGCATATAGAGAGAGAACATATACACCTTCTGGAATGGCACTAATTAAAACTCTCTATTGGCAAGTATGTGGAAAATAGACCCATTTCTGACACTGGTGGAAAGAATGTGTGGGAAAACTAAAGTCTAAAAATTTAAATGCTTTTTACCCTTTGATCTTTTAAAAAAACCCACTTCCAGGAATTTACTCTCCAGTGAAGGGATATTTGCTGCAGCACTATTTTTAGTAGCAAAATAAAGACATGAAAAGGCAACCAACAACAGTCTAAATTCTATCAGACACAATGGAGACAGGAGAGATACACATACAGGACATAGATACACATTTGCTTTTCACACTATCCCCTAACTTTTACATAAGTATATTTCTTTTAATGAAAAACTCAAATCCAATCTTAAAAACGGATTGAAAATATTGAGCAACTGTACATACACGTCATTGGGCCAGAGAAAAAGAGAATATGGGAATTCAGACTTTATTTCTTGGTCTCAGAGTTCATAATGTGGCTTGGTAAGATAACAAAAAATTTAAGATTGAGAGAAAATCATTAAATACGTAATAATATAGACAATAACTGCTATGATACCTAGGTGGGCAAGGTCATCTCAGGCTAAAGGTGGTCACTAAAAACTTCAGTGTAAACAAGCTATCAACAGAGTCTGCCAGGGGATTTCGACAGCTTAAATTATGAAAGGGTGGCCCCAAATAAGTGAATACCAACCTTCAAATTTGTTTTAACATGCAATGTTCTGAAAATTTTTAAATTTTGTATATTATTCTAAGTTTCCAGCTTCTCTTAATATCAAAAGATATAGCAACCAGATTAAAGCTAAGCAGCGTCTGCTTCTTTTATAGAAAGAGACCATGTACCTTCTTATCCCTGTATCTTGCTTGTATAGTACAACCTGCTTCATCATTTAATAATCTGCTTGGTTTCTATAAGCATTTAAGTTTCTTAACCCTGGCACAGAAACGTGGGTAACAATAACCAAAACTACAAACAGTAAAGTACACGAAAGTTCCTATTTATGAAAAAAGACTTCAAAGAATTAGCTTTGCAACAAGTGTTAAATACTGGAAAGCAACTAAGGATAAATCAATCTAAGAGAAGAGCAGTTACTCGTATCAAACAAAGAAATTCTTAGTTGACTCATATAAGGCCCTGACCAATAAACATTTGATATCCAAGCCAATTTTATGGAGTGGTTGTATGCCAAATGGATCACCATTCTTTTATACATTAAAATTAGGGGGTATTAAAGGAGGAAAGTCTGAATTTTAATGACACCTCAATTTTAATACTCCTCTCAAAGGCAAGAGGAGGGAGGGTTGCTTTCAGAGTAAAGGTTACTTGAGATTTATGGCAATTTTGGAAGCAGTGTAGGATGAAACCAATCTCAGCTGCAAGTACTCACGTCTGTAATACTAAGTCATGTGTTTCTCCTCATTTGTTTTTTTTGGTTTTTTTTTTTTTTTTTTTTTTTTGTCTCTACATTCTAATTAAAAGGAATAAAGGAAGTGGCTCCTTAATGGGCATCTTTACAACATCCAACACTTGATATGAGGTTATCTGGGCTAGATTTCTGACCAGTTTTCATTCTTCTAGGGAAGACGCATTCTTTCCAACAGGCTAACGAGCTCTCCAAGCAATAATCCATTGTGCAAAACTGAAGCTGCTTCCTGAGAGATCATTTGAGAGAAAATCCTTGCCTTATATTCATTCACAGGCATACAAAGTTTAAGCCACTGGAGCCACCGAAGTTAAAATATCCTTAAAGTTATGTTTGAGGAGTAAAGAACAGCATTGTAGACAAAACATGAACATGTGAGAAGAGACAGGAAAGGAAATTTCAGAAAGTTGCTGTCACAATTAATAGCAACATAAAAGGTTACAGATTTCAATTAAGAAATGATCGGTGTTTTCGGATTCTAAAATAGGTTTAAGTACATGGTTATTTACTAAGAATTCCTTTATAACAAACTGTTTTGTTAAGTACAAAACTTAAAATTCTCAAACTGAAACCATTTTATCAAAAATTGCCTTTTTACTGAAGTACTGAGAAACCAACCGAGATCTCATGGCTCACAACTGAAAGAAGACTTGTTTTCTTGAGCATGGAAAGCAGTATTATAAGGAACAAAATTTAAAACAAAACAAAACCACAAAAACCCACTGCATCAGAGACTAGATATAACTCACCAAAATGATCTCCAAAATATAAAATAACATTATTAAGTCAGCCAGGAATAGAACACAGTTTACCAAAAGAAAAAAAAAGAAAGAAAGAGAAAAAAAAAAAACAAAAGCAAGCAAGACAAATTAAATTACACATAATACTTACATCTTCTCTAGGTAGTTTATTTTCATTGTCTCCTTCAATTCTCACCCGAACCACACCAGATTTGTCCACTATTTCCTGAATAACTTTGCCATTTTTTCCAATTACTTTTCCTTTAATAAGAGAAAAAAACATAACAGTAAGTTAAAACCAGTACTGCTAATCCTTCCAATACCAGCCCCAATAATTTGACTTGCTATCAAATTAAAAAAACCAAACAAAGCTCCATCTTTTTACTCTCAATATATTCACCCTGAAAACTAAAGAGGAATTTTATCCTTGATCTGAAACTTCCTTCTCTTCAGAATGCCTAAGGCTATTATTAACTAGGACTGACAGTGCTGCTCACACTTAAGTCATTTTCCAAGTCTAAAACATTTTTTTAATGTGCTCTACATCATTTCTGTATTTTTAAAATATCAATGCAACCCATTCCAAAACTTGGACATATATATAAAGGCAAATGAAACACTTATTTTGGCATTAATCATACCAATTTGTTTATGTATTTTTAAGTTAACAAATTCAATCTTGCTTTCATATTCAAGTTGCTATTCATCCACAACACATCTGTAACTTAAAGACACTTTTAAAATGAATACTCAACAAAATAAAATGTCTGCATTTAACATTCTTCACAGTTTTTAAGTACTTCACAGCTATACAAATACATATAGTATGTATATGGTATGCAGTCTTCCTAAATATGAAATATAATATACTGACATAAAATCCAAATTATTTACCTTCTCCACACTTAACATTTAAGTGTGTCAAACAGCAGTTATTAAGTATCCTATAACTAAAAGAGAAACTAAAAGGAGGGTAGAAAATTCTCTTCCCCTTAGGAACTTAACTCTTACAAAGGTAGCAAACTTGTAAAATAGCAAAGCAGTACTAGACAGTGTTACCTGGTAACAGAAGTAAATATTCAGGTAACCTTCCCTGTATGAAACAGATGCATCCCTTATAAAAGTTATTAAGTCCAAGTCCCTCATTCTTCTTTAACTAAATCAGCAGTCTATTTCCAGAATAAATTAATTTTGGTTGAAAGAGGTTAAAATGGAAGTTATTCCTATCACATGCTTGAGAACATAGTTTCCATTAAAGAATAAGGGAACAACAATAGTAAGAGCAAATGGGTCAATACAGCAAAGACATCATTACAGGATTTTCTATCCCTATTCTCAAAACTCCTTCCCCATTAATAACCCTAAGTTTAAAAGCAGCAGCAATTGAAGAGGTTCAAAGAAAAAATAGAGTAGGACAGGGAATTCACATGATGTAGGTCTTCTCTGAGCAGCCCTAGCAGCAGTATATAAAAGCAACCTTCATTGTTAACACAGTGAAGCTCAAGCAGCAACTCCATCCTTGACCCTGCTAAAAATAAGCAAATGTCTTTTCGAAAAAACAATAATCAGACTGATGTATCATAATCCCTCCCCCAGAATCTTTGCCCCTTCCTTCTATGAACTATACCAGTGGTGAGTGCACATCCATCACCCTTCTGGGGTCTGTGGCAGGGACCTACCTGCAAGTTTTATTTAGTCCCACCAGAGACCGTCAATATTTTAACTGATCATTTCCATTAAATTCCAAAGCATATTGACAAACTGAAGCACACCTGTAGTATAAATTGAGCACTGAGCATAAATGCTGAAGGGACAGAGTAAAGAAGTGATTAAGGAAGGCTTCCAGGAGGTGAAAAGTTTCAATTCATTTTTAAATTAATGTTCACATAATATTTTTCATCTGACTTAGGAGGGGTGGGAATGGTCAGGGTCTAGAACTCGTAGAACCTGAATGTGTAAGAGAATTCTCTTGAACTTACCCACCAAGTAGTCCTCATTCCCTTTTTACTCCTCAGTCCACTTTTTCTTTTTCACTTGGGACTAAAAATGTACTATTTTTCAAAAGACTGCTTCACCCATAAAACATTTTGGAGGGAAATGTAGTATTATTATATACAACAACCAAGAAATCGTTATGCTACCTTTGAGTTTTTCACCAACATATACTAGTTGCTGCTAATATCTATTTTCTGAAGAGTCCCAAATAACCCAACTCACCAAAGCAAACCAAGACAGAGTAGAGGAAAAAAGAGATATGACAAGTACTCACATCTTTGCACAGATAAATGAATAAAGAGAAAAACCAGAGAACTACAAAAATAACCAATTTCCTTATATCTGAAATATCAGGAATTTTTACTCAAAATTAGCACTACCAAAAACTCTAAGACCACGGCTATCTTCTATAGAACTGCTGCACTGGAAAGAACCCTGATTTCCTTTCACACCCTCATCTCCAAAACAGTTTTACAGGTGAAAAAACCTAAGTTAAATTATGCTCTGTAAACCAGAAACTACAATGTTAGTACCAATAGGTGTCAATAATTGTGACTTAAAGAAAATAGGGGATTCGTTTTCAAAAGCAGCTTGTCAAAAGTGATTTCATTTGACAATGATAAACATTTGATAATATTTTGTATCTATAATCATTTGCTAGAATTATACAGAAATACTTCAAGCTTACACTCAATTTTAACATCTCATCTCCCCAGCAGTTCAATCTACAGTGAACAAGAACCAGTAATATGGAGCTTATTTATCTGGCAGTATGTCACACCTATACAAATGCTTGGGAAAAGTAAGAGGATAACAGCTGAATACCAAGAAACTGTCCAAGTTCTTGTCCCAGAGTATTACTGTCCCAGAGTATACTAAGTTGTTAACTGGGCAGAACAAACATCTTTTTAAAGTGGGAAGTTCTGGGGGGTTTTCTGTAATTTTTTTTTAAACAGGGTTAGACCAATAGAACACATATAGCAAAAAATCATTTCCAAAAGGCAAAACAGGCCAAATTATATATAAATGGAGTCCAAAAGGCCCTGTTTCACTGAGGTCAAGAAACTCATGAGACACAGCAGTGGACAAAAACTCAAGCCCCTCCTAGTAAATGTCTTTGCTTTATGTTAATGCTTACTTTTTTATTAAAGGTTTAGGATAATCACTGAGTATTTACTTAATATATGACCAAAATTTTTCCATTTGTTTCAAACAGCATTTAAAAGGACAGATAACACCGATGTAGAAAATATTAATAACAAAGCTATTAAACAACTCATCCCAAGCTGTAATGCTCCTTTAACTACAGCTTCACACTCAAATACTGTCATTTAACTTACAGCCCATGGGTAAATAATATCCATTAATGGTGTCAGAAACTTAGAAGTGAAACCTCCCCTCCTATCATCATCACCATTCTTCTCTCCTACCCATGACTTCTTACCTTATTCTATGCCTTTGCAACAACCAATTATTATTTATTCAGGGCCTACTGTGTAGAAGTTTATTACCCTATTGTTACTCCACTCTTACTTTTTCTTCTGCACTAAACAAAAGAAAAAAAATATCACAAACACCTTCTCAAAAAAATACTATGACAATTCTGATGGACATATGAGTGATAAAAACACATTAAGTGAGTAAGAAGAGCAAGCCCAAGGGGTGAAATGGCTTTTAAAAAATGTAATGACGAACTGTTACAAAAATCATGGGTCTTATTAGTGAGTCACCCTGTACAGAAGGAAATATCTTTACTTTATCATACGATAATAATGAGATACAAGTCACATACTACTTTACTAAAAATAGAAAACAAGTAAGGCTATCAAATGCTCCATGTAACTATAAATAAAATATAGTATCAGACAAGATTAAATTTCAATTAAATTGCTGTATTAGTAATAACATTTAACTTATTTAACATTTAGTAGAAATACCTACCAACAAGATTCCTAGGAACCTGAATAAAATCCTCAACAAATTCCAAGAAACCTCTAGCCTTTTTTACAGCATCAGCACTCTGCAGGAGAAAATAAACATAAAATATAACCCTTAAGAAAACCCCAATCCAAACAAAAAAAAAAAAACAAACAAAAAAAAAAAAAAAAAAAAAAAAAACAACCCCCACACACACAAGAAATGAGAAATTCTGAATTATTATGTTCTAGTACAAAATTCTGTTCAGCCCACTAAAGTGACATTTCAGGTCAAATAATTCATGAAGTACTTTATAAAGAAAAAAAAAATTATTAAGAGGCTAGGAAAAAAAAAACATACTATTAGAATTATCTCTAAGGGAAGGGGGGAAAAAACCCTAAGTTGAGAAAACAGAATTTACCTTACTTATGTTAGCCAAATTTTAACCCAATCCTAAATATATTCGGTCCATACTCCCATGTTAAGTTTCTCTAGGTGAATGTTAAATACAAATTAATCATATTGTCTACACTGTCACACTTTTTTTTCATTCTCAACATAAATTATTTTAAAAGCTGTTTTTGTGGAGATACTTTTTAAAAGTACCTACTGATAAGATTAAAATCCCTTACTTCTAACTGGTATAATTTTAAAAGACTGGAAGACTGGAGAGAAGGGAGACTCTCTACAGGGAATCTATAGTTCTCAGGAAGTTACCTTCCACTTTTACTGTGTGTTAATAGCCCATAGATGAAGTATATCATGCACCCATCATGTCATATAACACAATAAATTTTTAAGCATTTTTAATCCTCACAAACTGCAATGTAAGCACAACTATTTTCATTTTAAAATTAGGAAAATTATGCAGAGAAGTTAAGTAACTTTCTCCAAGTTCACTCACTTGGTAGAGACGATTCCAATCAGGTAGTGTGGCTCCAAAGGTTTCAGAAATAAAATTAAAAAAATCAGGCCTCTACTAATTCACTTTATGACCCAACTTTTCATGAGAAAAACTATGCATGAAAAGTCAAGATGTGAGGGGCGCCTCAGAGACTCAATTGGTTAAGTGTCTACCTTAGGCTCAGGTCATGATCCCAAGTTGCTAGGATGGACTGGGCTCTCTGCTCAGTAAGGAGTTGGCTTGTCTCTGTCTGCCCCTCCCCCTGCACTTGTGCTCTTTAACTCAGACGCACACACGCTATCTTTTTTTTAAGATTTTTAAAAATTTATTTAATAGAGAAAGGAGAGCAGAGGGGAAAGTGAGGTAGAAGACTCACCGCAGAGCAGAGAGCCCAACGTAGGCCTTGATCCCAGGACCCTGAGACCACGACCCAAGCCAAAGGCAAATGCCCAACAACTGAGCCACCCAAGCACCCCTCTAATAAATATCTTAAAAAAAAAAAAAAAGTTAAGACTTGAAATCATCACCCTAAAAAAACCTCATCCACTTTTTCTAATGTGAAGCATGGTCTTAAGGAAAGTCTGAATTATTTCTCAGATTTGTTATTTTCCAATTCAAACAAATGTCATAACCAGTGACAAAATATTATCCAAAATCAAGTTCTTCAAAAGCTCCTCTATTATACGCTATTCACAGTTGCCAGTGTCTGGCACAGTAAGCACTCAAAAAAAGCAAATTATTTGTAATGCACATAAAACTGAGTTAAAATCAGAAGCAGTTGCTTAAACTTCCGAGAACAGTATGTATTAAATACTCTATAAATCTTTTATTGACCCATATAATACAACAGTTCTTCAGTCTACCTGCACACATGTAATGGTTACTGGGGCTGACTGATTTTTAAAACTATTTTACTGGTTTACTGGGAAACTGAAATTCCAAATAATATATAATCAAGCAAGTTATAATAAAGTTACTAATAAAAAAATTCTTTAAATAAAGTTACTGACAGACATTAGCTTACCTCTCCATAGATTCTAAATGTTCCAGTATCTTCATCTAGCTCAATAGCTGTAACTCCAGGAACCTTCCTAGCTTGCTGTATGTTACTACCATGTGTTCCTATTGCCAGGCCCATCAAATCTTCTCTCACAACAAATTCCTCATGAAAAGCTGCTGCAAGTTGTTTTGTGCACTAGTAAAAGAGGTATATTAAAATTTCTATTACAAAAGATCAAAAACAAATGGTTTTTCATATATCCATGTTTGTAGTAGTAATAGTCATCAAGAAGTAAAAGCAAACCAAATGTGCACTAAACAAACAAAATGAGATATATGCATACAAAATTATTTAGCCTTCAAACGGAAATTTTGACACATGCTACAATGTGGATTGAGGACACTGTGCTTAGTGAAGTAAGCTGGTAACAAAAAAAAAAAAATACTCTATGATTCCACCTACATGACATTTCTAGAGTAGTCAAATTTATAGAAACAAAAAGTAGAATGGTGGTTACCTGAGGGGTTGGGGGGGGTAGATATGGGAAGTTGCTGTCTAGTGGATATAGTTTCAGTTTTGCAAAACGAAAAGTTCTCGAAATTGGTTGATTAACAACATGAACAGACAACACAACTGAACTCTACACTTTAAAATGGTAAGGTGGTAAATCTTATGTTGTAATTTACCATAATGTTAAAAAAAAAAAACAAAAAGAATTAGGAAAAAATTAAAGAATACTCCTTTGGGATCATATAATAGAAGGGGAAAAAACAGTTTGCTACGTCTATTTAATCATGATTACAGAAAATAGTTAATTCTAAAACAATTTTCTGGAATTACTGATATAAGTTCTCCAATAGTGTGGTAATGAAGAATAGGAGAAAACAGAGGAGTACCTTAGGATGGGATAAAAAAGCAGTAATAGGCTCTTTTTTAGAACCTACATGCCATGTGTCCTCCTCTCCTCTTACCTAACAGTTATTATAGTCCACAGTTAACTAATGGAAGTGTGTTATGAGTAACAGCTGACAGGGTAGTTAAAAAAAAAAGTTAAGGACAGAGTAAAAAAAAACTAGTAATATAGTTCTACTGGATATCCCTAATGAGTTTCTAAGTTCTTTGGCACCCGTTATCTATGTCCTAACAAAAAACTCAATAGGTATTTAGCAAACAAAAGCTATTTGGGGAAAGTAACAGAAAAAAAAAATTGCTCTAAGGGCACAATGACGCCTGGAATCAGCCACAAAACAGGTCCCAAGGTACCTTTTAATAGTCAAGCAGTTTAAGCCAAGGAACTTGATTAATATACTTATGAAACTAAATGGGACACACAAACTCTGATAAACCCACTTACTTCTAAATGCTTAGTGGCCTCTTCATTTCTGGACATAAGCATCAACTTCGTACGAATACTTCGCAAATGCATGTCACTTAAAATATTTACTCTCTTCACAGTTGCTTCGCTGGCAGACTATAAACAAACAAGTTAATCACTCAAAATAATCTTATTTTTCAACACAATACAAACAAGAACCTTCCACATAAAACCTTCCTTGATCCTCATCTACTACACTTCTCTCCCCAACATTTCCCCCTCCCAAAGACAATCCTACTCCCCAATCCCCTTTCTGAATTCCATCATTTAGTTCTGCTATTCAAATTATGATTGGGGTTAGGAGGGCAGAGGAGGATCCAGGATCCCACAAATTCATAATATCATGTTGTTCAGAATGCCTAATTAAGATTTTTTCTTCCACAGAAGATAGAAATTAACATTTTATAGCTGTGAAAAATTCTTCTTCCATATGTATTAACAAACTTACTGCACACCAAGTTAATTTTTATCTTTTCAAATATTTAATTATAAAACCTGTGAAACATCCACTGGCTACCTTAAAACATGTAGTTATCTTACCAATATCATTAGCTGTGTGGTTTCTGGATGGTAAAAAATTCTGCATGCTCCTACTGCTTTCTTAAAATCTTTATGTGCATTTTCATTAGCACACCTAGGGAGAAATTGATTCATATTTAAGACCTAAATGACAGATTAAACCAGAAGGCAATTATAATGCAAACTAAGTATTTCATTTTGACACTATCCATTAAAACTTTGTTTACTAAAAAGATTTTCTATCAGAAGTTTTTGTGTGTTTGGGAAAAAGATTTTTGTAGCACTAAAAAATCTTCTTAATTCACAAAGCAATTCAACAATAAACAAAATTACTCACGCCTCTCTCAAATCCTCAGGAACATCCACTGTGCATTTAAAGAAGGTATTTTTTTTGACAGTTTTATTTTGATTGACAGGCCGAAGTCGTTCAAATGTGACTATTTCATTGTAAGTGGCATCACAAGCAGCATATTCAATGACATAAAACTAAAAGACATCAAAATACTTTAAAAATCCCATCTGAACAAAAATAATGAGCTTTAAGTGAAGTTCTAATTGCCTTGCTCAGTTTACCAGCAGACCCTCCCCCTTGTGGCACAAATACTAAGCACAGCTTAGTTACATACATCAATCTGATTTGCCTAAACTAGATTATAGGCTCTTACAAGCATGAACCTTGGTGGTCCTCACATGCTTGAAGCGTATTCCTGAAGAGAAGCTTTGAGGTTTGCAAACTCAGAAAACAAATAAAAATAAATGGTCTAATGAATTTTTAAAATATATGATCAACTATGTCCAAATTAGGAGTTCAGAAACAAAATTAAGAACTGAAGTAACATTTACAGAAACCAGGAGCTGAGGTATTTCTTTGGAAACTAGTCACAAAGCAAGTGTAAAGATCACTTACTTCTCCTTTCATCATTCGAACTTTAGCCAACCACCATCCACAGGGTTCTTGGTCATTTGCTCTTGAATATACCTGAGAAGAGGAAAAAAAGGCTCTTATCCATTCATCCTGGAAGATTTCAACATTACAATGACTTACGATAAATGCCAAATCCCATTAAATTCTAGAACCAAAAATGTCACTGCACTAAAATTAGTTAACCATAACTTAATAAAAGAATCATGTCTGTTTAAACTTTACTACTGAAAAACAAACTGAACCCTTTTGAGGCAATTTGGCTCTTTGGAAATCTAATTCCAAATTCAGGAGATTTTCCAAACATAAATATTATTTTAAAGAATGCTCTTCACAAGGCAGTTTAACATAGTGTAAAACAGAGTTCTTCCACGGTTTCTGTCAATCCTGTTCACTCTTAAGCACTGCACTCTGATGATTCAAGTATCAGACACAGGGTTAAGCTAGAAATTACTAAAGACATTTTAAATCTCACAACAGTATTTCTATGATGCTGAAATCAAGAACTGTTTTCTTAAAGAAACCCAATTTTAAAACCTTCAAGGATATGATATTTAGAATTTAGATTCCTTCCTCAAGAGCCTAAATCAAATGCACTAAAATTGTTCAGCTGACCAATAAAAATTTAAATTATACACATTTAGTACATGTAGCACGGTTCATAAGAATCTTACAAACCTCTTCCGTAAAAAAAAAATTATCTTATATCCTCTGTATTTGTAATTACCAGGTATTTTGTAACATAACACATTAGAGAAGTTTCCCTTAGGGATTAGTTATTTCTTATGGTACAGCATCTTGATGTATTTTCAGTATGTGGAAAACAGGGGGGAAGGTGTGTGGGAAGAGACAACCAAGAAGAACCATATTAAAATCTTTATTATATTAAGAATGTGTCCATAGAGTACAGAGAAATCTATCAATGTATGTTAACACCTATCTTTGGGTTAAATGCAAACAACCTGATAATAAGCAAATAGTTTTGGGGGAAAGCCCAAAGGCTCAGCGAGGTGATCTGAGAGTAATCTTGGAAGTGGGGGAATACTGGAAATGTAACTGAATAAGCCAAAATCTCACATCAACTTCACTGTGCACCATGATCAGAAAAAAAAACCTACATACCAATCAGGCTCCAGTGGACTCAATTTTAGCTTTGCAATTCTTTATGAGCAAATCTATTTTGTAACTTTTATCTTTTTGGTCTCCAAAAAACAATAAATTTTACTTTTCTTTAGAATAAAACAAAATTCATTCTATCTTGCAATTATTTTATGTATCCATGGAACCTCTTATAAATCTAGAGGGAAATCTAATGATCTTAGTTTTTTTCCTGTATCTTGAAACACTTCACTATTTCATCATCATTCATCAATTATTCCCAACTGTGCTTTAAAAAAGGCTAAAAAAAGAAAAAAAAAAAAAGAGAGAGAGAGACAGAGAAGAATGATGGTATCACCTGGAAGAAGAACACAACAGTGAAATATAGCGTTACTATTGCATCATCCTGGTTTCTTTACTGCATAGTCTTTCAAGAAAGTATAGAAAGACTGGAGACACCATTCTTGCAGTCTGCTTTTGGTTTTCACTGAACAGTTAAGAATTCAGAATTTTTAATTTTCCACCCATAACTGCAAAGACAAAATTTACAGAGGAAGGGCTTTCACAATTATTAGAGGAATCTGGATTGATGCAGAGACCGACAACAGCACTCTAGATTCTGATGATGAATGTGAAATTACAAGCAGAATCTCCCATCATGAAGCCTTTAGATGATGAATAGTCCCAAACAATATACTTCTAAAGAAAAAGGAAATTTAATATCCTCACCCAGTTAATCATTCAAACTGTGACTTCATCATACAAAATCATGCAACGAGACTCGGGACCATTCTGTTTTTCTAAAAGGACATGTGATCATATTCTTTCCTCTTTTATGACTGTACACCAAAATGTACCCCCATACAGCTCACAAGTGGGCAAATGCCAAAGGCAGCTGTGTATACAAAGATGACTAGAAAGAAACAAATGATGAAGACATGCAAAAAATGCAATGGGTTAGTCAGTGCAAATAGTTAAATATGAAGATGATATAATTATAGCACAAAGATAACTATGCTCTGTTCAATAAAATTAGAAGCCACTAAGAGTTCCAAAATATTCTTAAAGTACTGCATTTCTGATAACCCAAGTGTAAGATGAACCAGAATGAAATGATAAACTAGAACTTACTAGATGTGTTTTAAATTTGATTATCAGTATTTGTGAGAATTTAATCTGCGTTTATGCATGACAGCTGATGAGCAGTAATATTTAGAGACCTGTACTCATTTATATATATATAATCAAAACCAGGAAAATATGGCATAAAAAGTTGTATTTGCTATGTTTCTTTTTTTTTTTTTTAAGATTTATTTATTCGGGGTGGGGGAGGCATTAGAGGGAGAAGGAGAAACTCAAGCAAACTGCTCTGAGCAAGGAGCCCAACACAGGGCTCTACCTCACCACTGTGAGACCACAACCTAAGCAAAAACCAAGAGTCAGATGCTTAACTGACTACGCCACTGAGGCACCCCTGTATTTGCTATGTTTAAATGCTCATTAAGATACTTAATGTTGACCTTCAGCATCCTTTTATTCTTTTTTTTTTTTTTTAAGATTTTTATTTATTTGTCAGAGAGGGAGAGAGAGAGCGCGAGAGTGAGCACAAGCAGATAGAGTGGCAGGCAGAGGCAGAGGGAGAAGCAGGCTCCCTGCTGAGCAAGGAGCCCGATGTGGGACTCGATCCCAGGACGCTGGGATCATGACCTGAGCCGAAGGCAGCGGCTTAACCCACTGAGCCACCCAGGCGTCCCCCAGCATCCTTTTATTCTTAACTTCAGTGAAATTATATGTAAACAGACTTAAATTTTTTTTAGAAATGGCCCACCAGGACCAAATGGTAAGTGCTGATGACCATTCTCCCTCAGTATGCCACAGATTAAAAGAAACCCCTAAGAACAAGAGGGAAAATGCCCATTCCAAGTACTATCTCAGAAAGGCAAGTTCAGCTAAACAGACTGGAGTATCTGTTGATACCTAGTGAATGGGTGTCTTAAAAGTTTCGGTGGGGGAGCACCTGGGTGGCTCAGTGGGTTAAAGCCTCTGCCTTCAGCTCAGGTCATGATCTCAGGGTCCTGGGATCGAGCCCCACATCGAGCCCCACATCGGGCTCTCTGCTCAGCAGGGAGCCTGTTTCCCCCTCTCTCTCTGCCTGCTTCTCTGACTACTTGTGATCTCTGTCTCTGTCAAATAAATAAATAAAATCTTTAAAAAAAAAAAAAAGTTTCGGTGGGGGCGGGGGAGGAAGAATGGGTCTTTAAACTACCTAAACCCCTTTGCTCTAATTCTACTTTCACCAAAATAAAATTTTCTAGGAATGTGACTTCCTATGTGAGCTTACCACCAAATAAAGAGAATAAATCATTCTGGATTGCCTTGAAGCTTTATCTCTCATTGAACATTAAAATTCTGGATTTCATTTTATACTTACATCTACCTCTGTAAGCTTCATTAAAAACTTTACCCCTGAAAGACAAAGTCATTCTCATAAAGCCAACTAAATCCAAGTTCATGAGCTTGAATCAAACACTATGAATTTGGCTCCACTTGAGTGCAGTGGGTCAAATCACATTCTTTCCAAAATGAACAGTTTATCTTACACAATAAAAAAATTATTTAATGACGCATTAAAACTGTGCCATAGTATACTGTGTCCCTGATGTTGATCACTGTATTTATGACTCCATCACTGGAGTAGGAGCACTTCAAAGAAATTACCTTTATTCAGACTTAAATTCCAAACTATTCCCAAGGAGCAAATCACACTCTAAAGCAACAGCCCTCATTGTTTTAACATTCTAAGTTTCTACAAATCCAAGGAAGAGCTTTAAAAAAAGACCAAAGAGGACCCGTGAGAGACCTAAAAGCGCAACAGTACTCAGACTGAAGAAGTACAATTTCATGGAGTGGAGAATGGAACATGAAAAATCAAATTCCAGAATTCTATTTCAGGGTTCTTTCTGCCAAACAACTCCAAGTCAAACCCTACTACAAAACAGCCTCTAAATTCTAACACACAACCAAAGTATTATTACTTAAATGAATTACAGTCATGTTATTAACCTTTCAATCAAGTTAATAATGTTTAACTATGCTTTTCAAAGTCACAACCAAATATGAACCAGAAATAGTTTTTTTTACCAGTTTTCACCAAATTAACTGAAAAGAGTATTTCTAAATAATGTTAACCATTAAACTGAATAATCATAACAGCCAGTTTTATAATTATTATTCCTCTATATTCACTATTTCATCTCATTACAATTATAACCTATCATAAAGAAATGGAAAATGTACATTAGGAAAGCAAGTTTAACATCTAGAACACACTGAGGTGATTTATCTACCTATACATAGTATTTTCTCATTCAACTATGTCGCTGATACTTTTAACAAATGGGTTTTAAAGTCTTGGAAAATAGCCATTTCCCATGTAACAATAATCAAGAATGTTTACCTCTTCTTTAAACATATGCAAATTTCCCAAGCCCTAAGACTAACTGTAAACTTGGCATTATAAGAAAGACTAATTACAGAGAGATAAAATTTTCAGACTGGTTGCAAGAATCAAATTGAGACATTTTTTTTAAAGGTAGAACAGAGGGGTGCCTGGGTGGCCCAGTAGGTTAAGCATCCTTCAGCTCAGGTCAAGATCCCAAGTCCTGGGATCAATCCCCAACCCGCATTGGTGCTCTCTGCTCAGTGGGGAGCCTGCTTCTCCTTCTCCCTGCCATTCCACCTTCTTGTGCTGTCAAATAAATAAAATCTTTTAAAAAATAATTAATAAAGGCAGAACGGAAACTACATGTATCTTCATCTTTTGTATAAAAAAAACCCTGAATTTTAAAAATTTTAAGGTAAGGGTGGGCACCTGGGTGGCTTATGGTTAAACATCCAACACTTTTTTTTTTTTTTATAAGATTTTTTTTTTTTATTTGACAGAGTGCTCAAGTGTGCAC